GGGAATGGGAAAGGGGAAACAAAGGAGGAGGCAACAATGCTTCATAAGAAATGTACTCATTACCTTGCCCATATAATTGTAGCCCCTTTGTACAGTATTGTCACAATTTTTAAAAAAGTGGAAATATTTATATTTTAGAACATATTAGACTAATTCTCACTTTTCCCTGAAAAGTCCATTACTAATGGAAATGGAAATAAGATTTATTTCATTCAAAGACTTTTAAATATAAAAAAGGAAAAGTAAAGTTTAATCTATTTTTTAAAGAAAACATAAACATCCAATTAGCCATTACTTTTTTTAATACTTACAAAGGAAATGGAATAGGATTATAGCTATTTCCTGGAAGCAAATTTGCAAAGATGGCTTTCATGGTGGACTTTTCCTTTACTTGGCTGTCTGTGGATCCCAACAAATGTCCATCAAACACATCTAAAGTAAAGAATACTCTATTTATATACTGACATTTCAGGAAGAATAAAAAGTAAAAGTGCCAATTTTAGTACTTCTTTTCCTTTGGGGCTGATATACACACATCCCATTAACAATTACATCTTAAATTTCTGACAGGAAAAAAAAAAAAAGATTCTTAGTGGATGAAACAGAAAGTGATAGTGAAACACACACTGCATTGATTCCAAGGAGCAGGTCTTTGCCCTTACATTTCTACCTTCTCTGAAACAGAGAAGGTCCTACAAGCAATGATTCAATCAGGTAGCATCCATGAGGCAATGAGGTATGGTATGATCTAAACTGCTGTACCTTCAGAACCACTGGCTGTGTCAAGTTCAGAAGGTCCTCCTACAGACTGCTCAGCCAGGACTTCTGGTGGAGAAGGCAAATGGAGATGGGTAGAACTGGTGGAACTCTGACTGGATAGGGTAGTCAAGAAGCGATCCTCTATAGAAAACACAATTTAAAGAGTTATTTTAAAAACATTAAGTCTTAGCTGTTACTAATATTTTTAATGTTAAACCATTTCTATTTCCTAAAATACAGAAATTTATTTTAAAAATTATTTAGGTTGTGTTGGTCAAGTCATAGAAAAATACATAAAAATCCAGAAAGGTTATATGACTAAAACACAATCAAATCTAGAAATATCAACCAATTCTGATTCTATCTAATATTTTCTTTCTACTATACCACAAAGTCTATCTAACTATCATTCAATTTAATAGTAACTAAAATTACAACACTGGGAAAAATTGTATGCTGATTCTGCAGAAAGGAATAAAACACTAACTTATAATTTTTATAGAAAAATACCCAAAATGATTAAGTTCTTTTCAATAAAGGTAATCTATGTGAATTCCTCACAAAGTTTCTATGATGTTACCAAGTAATTCAATGAAACACTATAAAAGACATCTTAAGTCCAGAAAAGACTTTAATGACATTACAAATAGAAATTATGTGTTCTAAGACGTTTAACAGTACATCTTAGAATGACTTAGAAATAAGCAAAACAAAAATAAAATTTCCATTTTCTTTTCTCTGTCTTTTTTCCTTAACAGTACATCTATCCATATTTTACATGTTTCTATATCCTAATGTATCTTCTTACAATAAGCTATAGGATAGGCTGATAAGAACTACAAAAAAAATGATGTCTATGTCTAGGAACAACTGCACCAGGAAGAAAATGCTCAAAATATGCTCTTTATATATTAGGAAAATTGATAAACACTTGATATATTAAGAAATTTCTTTAAATACAATAGCAAGTTGACACTAAGATTCAATGTCCAACCTTTTTCTCCATTTTGAAGTCCTGGAGAAATATTCCGTGGAGATGTGTCCATTGCACTTATCTATAGAGAAATACATATTCTGCTTTAAAGAAATATTAAAATCACATTTTTGTTTTGTCTAAGCCAGTGAATCTTAAGGTTTGTTTTTTTTTTTTACTCTCAGGACCTGTTAATACTCAAAAGTTAGAAAGTCTACCAATCAATTCCAATAGCTTTTAGTTTCTCAGAAATTAAACCTAGAACTTTTTAATGTAGTAACTCATTTAAAAATAAATTCATTATATATAAACATGAGTATAATACTGATTAAATAAAATATACCTATTTTTCAAAAATAAAAAAATAGTGACAGAATATCATTGCTTTAGCATTTTATAAATATCTTCTTTGTCTATCTAACTAGAAAATGCTAGATCCCTATCTGACTTCTGTATTTAGTATGTTGAGGTTAAAATGCTGACTTTATACAGACACACAGTTAATAAAGAGAAAACTTGTAGAACTTTATTTAAAGCCTGAAGAATCACACTTTGTGAAAATTGTTCTAAACAGTAGTTTACTTCTTGGCATTGAAACTATTAAAAATATAAGGATTGTCCATTAAGCCTAGAATTCTTTTTATTATCTCCTGGACCATCTCTATTCCTATTATGTACAGATAATATATTCTACAATAACTATCAGCCACACATACAATTTAATTAAAAGTCATTTTTATATTACTAATTAATCAAATCAGAGAGAACTCTCTGGGTACCTAGCTTCTTACAATATGCAACATGATAGTCTTAGTTTGTTAACTCAAAACCAGCAGCTACACCCTTAGCAAAACTTACTCTCTCCTTTGTGTTGTTCTTCATAGACTTTTTTTTTTTTTTGGTCAGTCGTGGGGCTTGAACTCTTGAGCTCTTCAGCTCAAGGCGAGGACTCTACCACTTGAGCCACAGCGCCACTTCTGGCTTTTTCTGCTTATCTTGTGCTGAGGAATCGAACCCAGGGTCTCATGCATGCAAGGCAAGCGCTCTACCACTGAGCCACCTTCCCAGCCCTGACTTTTTTTAATAAGTTCTTTATTGTGAAAATACTGTACAGAGGGGTTACAATCACATGAGCAAAGTAATGAGTACATTTCTTATCAAGCATTGTTGCCTCCTCCTTTGTTTTTCCCCTACCATCCCTTCCCTCCCACCTCCTCAACTACATTCCCCCCTCCCATACCCTCCTCACCTAAACTGCAAAGTTTTTTCAACATAGCATTTCATAGATTTTTTATACCTGGTAATAATCATTACCATGGGATCCCATGATTCCTATCAGCTTCTTTCTCAGTAGACAATGGATCATTACTATAAGAGCTGTGATTTTTTTTTCACAACGGAATGCCTTATAACCTAGAAAAATGTCCACTCCAGCCAGGTATGGTGGCTTATAATCCTACTATTTGAGAGGCTAAGGCAGGAATGTCACAGTGTGAGACCATACTTGGCTACAAACCCAGACCCTGAGGAATGAAGCAGAAAGTGAAGGAAAGACACAAGGGATGATGAGAGGAGAGCGGGGGCAAAGGGGGAAGAAGGGAGGAAGCATGGAAGGACACCCACTCCACAAGGGCAGAAACTGTGATATGAATAAATATAAAGCCAGTGCAACAGAATTTTAAATCAATTTTCAATCTTTCAAAAAGATGACTAAGAAGTAAGCCAGGCCCAAAGAAACATAGGTCCCATGGTTTCCCTTATTTGCAATAACTAGTATATGTCTGGGACAAGCAGAAAAGGTCAAAAGCTATGTACATATGACCATATAAGACGATGCTAAATGAAATAAACCCCAAGATAGGGACACAAGAGGTTTTTATCTTTGTTGCTGTTGTTTTTAATGTACTTACAATGTACTAGGTGATTTTTTTTGTTTCTTTTATATGTTCTTCCCCCATGGCATAACCCCTGTTTTCACTGTATTTGATTCCGGTACCCTACATCTTGTAATTTTTATATATTTTTATAATTTGGGGAGGGGAGGGAAATAACAAAATGCTAAAATAAGGATACAGGTTGACCCATTATAACAATGAGATATATAAGACACTATGTTAAAATGAACTTTACAACTTTGGGGGGGAGGGAGGAGTTGGGGAGATGGGGAGGAAGGGATGGTAGGGGAAAAACAAAGGAAGGGGTAACAATACTCCATAGGTAATGTACTCATTACCTTACTCATGTAACTGTAACCCCTCTGTACAGTATCTTTACAATAAAAAATATATTAAAAAAAAACAAAAACAAAAAAAGATGACTAACTACTGAGTGATCTTAATACTTTTAATTCTGTCTAATTATTATAATCTAAAGATTTCCACTATTAGCTATCATTCAGTATCTTCAGAGGGAAAGAAAAAGGCCATGAAGAGTCTGTGATAATCATTAACATCCCTGGACTGGTTGACTAATACTAACATACAGATGATCTTCAATAACCTTATTCTTACCCTCTTCTAAACTTTAGGGAAATAGTGATTCCTACACAGTTATCTAAGAGATAAAGCAAAGTGTCTGCAGAAGGAAATAAAACACTAACATAATTTTTATAGAAAAATACCCAAAATGATTAAGTTCCTGTTCAATAAAGATAATCTATGTAAATTCCTCACAAAGTTTCTATGATGTTACCAAGTAATTCAATGAAACACTATAAAAGACATCTTAAGTCCAGAAAAAGCTTTAATGACATTACAAATATCCAGTCAGAGTTCCACCAGAACAGAAGTCAACATTGCCAGCCCCCGGTACACACACCCCTCCCTCCATCAAGTACCAATTTAGGTACTGGTTGATATGAAGGAATCTCACAAATATAGTTAAAATAGAAGTATATATAGGTCTAAGATAATCATAAGCTCTTAAATCTGAGTACATAAATCAGAGATGGAGAAAGTAATCTGATGCAAAAAGGGGCAATTGTTGTTGAGGCTTTAAAATAAGAATGCTAGCAGTGCCCAAGACTTTAAGAATGGTCTCTAGTCAATAACCATCAATAGAACAGCTCAACCTTATCACTATTAGAAACTGAATTCTGCCAACACTCTGAATGAGTTTGGAAGAAGAGCCTCAAAAAAAACAAATGGCCCCCCCAACAACAAATCCCCAAAGAAACAACTGCCCAATAAATAAGTGGGCGAAAGACTTAAAGAGAAACTTCTCTGAAGAAGAAAGAAGGATGGCCAATAGACACATGAAGAAATGTTCAACATCCCTAGCCATAAAAGAAATGCAAATCAAAACAACATTGAGATATCACCTCACCCCAGAAAGAACGGCAAAAATCAAGAACTCTAATAACAACAGATGCTGGAGGGGATGTGGACAGAAAGGAACCTTACTTCATTGTTGGTGGGAATGTAATCTTGTCCAACCACTTTGGAAAGCAGTATGGAGGTTCTCAAAAGACTTCACATAGAACTCCCCTATGACCCAGCAATCCCACTTTTGGGCATTTACCCAAATGCTTACAAACAAGACCACACTAAAGCTACCACCACAACTATGTTTATTGCAGCATTATTTACCATAGCTAAGATATGGAACCAACCCAGATGCCCCTCAGTAGATGAATGGATCAAGAAAATGTGGTATATATACACAATGGAATTCTATGCCTCCATCAGAAAGAATGACATTGCCCCATTTGTTAGGAAATGGAAAAACTTTGAAAAAATTATATTAAGTGAAGTAAGCCAGGCCCAAAGAAACATAGGTCCCATGGTTTCCTTTATTTGCAATATCTAGTATATGTATGAGTCAAGCGGAAAAGGTCAGATAATGTGATGTTAGGAAAATGAACCCTTAGATATGTATTTTAATGTTTTTTCTTTCATGCATGTGTTTCTAACACATTTATAAGATTATCTCTTTGTTGCTTTGTATGTCCCTCCCCCACAGTATAACCCCTGCTTTCACTATATTTGATGTCAGTATAACTTGTGGAGGAGATGGGGAAAAACCAGTTGTTTAAGGATACAGGTGGACCTGTTGCAACAATGAGAAGTACAAGTTGTCATGTCCAAAACGAGCTTTACAACGTCGGTGGGGAGGGGGGGAAGGGGGTGGGGGGGAGGGGGGAAGGAGAAGGATTGGGATGGGGGGGAGGGGGGAGGCTGGGAAGGGATGGGAAGGGTAAACAAAGGAGGAGGCTGCAATGCTTGGTAGGAATTTACGCATTATCCTGCCCATGCAATTGTAACCCCTCTGTACAGTATGTTCACAAATAAAATAAAATAAAATTTAAAAAAAAAAAAGACAAATGGCCTAGCTATAACTGTTGATCTGAAATTTGTGAGATTCTGAAGACAACACTCAACCATAAAAAGTACGAAAAAATTTAAATATTTTTGAATGCTAAGCAAGAGAAAACTAATAGTTACAAAATGTCAATTAGGTTAATGAGTAGAATGTGCTCAGTTCAGAAACATTAAGAACTTTTCGTTTAGGCACAGAGAAAGAACACACAAAACTGGAGTAAGAAAAATAAAAACCCAACTACTCTGAGCATATACATATTTTTCTTTGTATATCTTGCTGTCATTATTAACATTACTTTAGTAATGTTAGTAGATAATTTACAAATATTTTTTAAAAAATTATTTGCAGTACATTTTGTCAAAGAAATCCAGGCACATATAACTTGAAACATACTTTAAGATGAAAACCCACACACTTAATATTACAACATATTCAATGACCACTTCTTAACAGTAGTAAATAGAACTAACTGTATTTTTGTTGATGAAGGAACCACACAAAAAACTACATATTACCTTGCTTTCTTCCCCTTGTCTCAGTCTTCCAGGACTTGGAGGAACTGAAGGCCTCTTTCTGCCTTTTTCCTGTTGGAAAAGGTCCTGCAACCTATAGCCAAAGGTAAAAGAAAAATACAGTTTTAGTTCTAATATTCTGAATTATATTTGAATTATATTTTAAAGTTGTTTAACCTGAACTAAGTTCTGTCATATCAAATAATCAAAAGTACTTGCTAATATAACTATACTGTGTAAAAGAATAGCAAGTTACTATAAGGAAAAATATTTCTTAAAAATTTCTAAGCTGAGAGCTGGAGGCTTACACCTCTAATCCTACCTACTCAGGAGGCTGAGATCTGAAGATCATGGTTCAAAGCCAACCTGACCAGGAAAGTCTGTAAGACTCTTACCTCCAATTAATCACAGAAAAAGCCAGAAGTAGCTCAAGTAGTAGAGTGCTAGCTCTGAGCAAAAGGAGCTTAAGGACAGCACTCAAGCCCAGAATTCAAGGCCCAGGACAGGGAAAAAAAAGAAAAAAGAGATGTGTGTTTGTATGTGTGTCTCTATAACAATATATTTAACTTTCTAACCTAAAGCCAATTATTTATTACTAATAGCATACTAACGCTAATGATTCAAATATGTCAAGTAAGCTATTTCCAACTTTGGTTTTTGTATCTTCATAAATGGACAATTAAAGCGAGGCACCAGTGGCTCACACCTGTGATCCTAGCTACTCAGGAGACTGAGATCTGAGGATCGCAGTTCAAAGCCAACCAAGCAAGAAAGTCCATGAAACTCTTATCTCCAAAATCACCAGAAAACTGAAAGTGGTGCTATGGCTCAAGTGGTAGAGTGCTATCCTTGAGCTAAAGAGCTGAGAGACAGCGCCCAGGCCCAGAGTTCAAGCCCCTCGACTAACAACAAAAACACGTAAATGTATGATTAACAGATTGGCTTTTAAAGAATGAAAGAAAAGGGGGTAAGAACCCCCCCCAAAAAAAACCTCGAGAATAAATGTAACTATAATCAAAATTTAAATTTTAAAATATCATGTCGGATGTTGACAAAAGATTGTAAAGTAGTACCTGTTATTCCAAGCTTGCAACACTTCGCAGAGGCTTTGTTTCTTGGCAATGAGAGACTCAAAGATGGATTGCAGTTGCTGAGGGGTATCTACAGAGGAGGACATAAGCCTTGCTTGCATCTTCTCAATCCAGTTCTTGAACTCACCTTCTTCCATCTAGAAGGTAACAGACACAAATTTGGTACAACAGAGGTCCTATACAGACACACAGTTAAAGGCATTTCTAATAAATTAAAGCAATTGGATTTTTTTTATCAAAGCAATGAGTTACCTCTTTTTGTGCAAAGATATCTTCCATTTTTTCCTCTCTTGTTTTGCTAAATGTATCAGTTTTCAAAGATGCAAGTCTTTCATCAACAGCGAGATATACCTGTGCAACTCTTAAAATGAAAGGAGAGAATATTATTAACTTTAAGGGAGGCAAAAAAAAATTTATGTCTCATATAAGTAAGGGGAAAATGTTATATACAAATAAAAACTGAAAGTTCTATTTTTTTAAAAAAAATCACATATAATTTTGTTGAGAAAAAAAGGACCTAAAAGGATATACTTCAAGATTATAATTTATTTGTATGACTGAGAATTTACTTTTCAATACATTCCTATATTATTTACATTTTTTCTCTTTTCACAGCCAGCATATATTGTACCATTAGAAAAATAAAGCTATTTACATTTTCAAAGAATGTTAAACTTGATCATTTAAAACAGCAGGGAGACCCATTGCAACAATGAGATGTACAAGTCGTTATGTTGAAAACAAACTTTACAACTTTGGTGTGGGGGGGGCGCGGGGAGGGGAAGGGAGGATGGGGGGAGGGAGGATTGGGGGGAGGATTGGGGGGACAGGGGAGGATGGGAAGGGATGGGAAAGGGAAACAAAGGAGGAGGCTACAATGCTTGATAAGAAATGTACTCATTATCTTGCTCATGTAATTGTAACCCCTCTGTACAGTATTTTCACAATTAAAAAAAAAGAAACCTCTTACAAACAAAAAAACAGCTATAAATTGTAGACATTACTAAACAAAACTGGATGGTTGAAGAAACTGAAACTTACTTCTGAAAGAAGTCCTTGAGATCCTGAAGAAGGGACACTTTTAATGGAGCCTGACGTTTAATGAATATTTTGGGGAGTGGAACACATACTTCAAGAAGCCGGATGGGAGAATAACTGTGAGTTGAAAATACAAATAACAGAAAAATAATAAATATTTCAATACCTTGAGTCATATTCAGATGGTCCATTAGATCCTAATGCAGCATTAGAGAAAATAAACCTTCTATAAAATGACATTTTAAAACAAAGATATAGAAAACTATTAATCATTATAAAAACCTCCCTCAAGCCAGGTGCTGATGGCTCACGCTTATAATACTATTTACTTAGGAGGCTGAGATCTGAGGATCACAGTGTGAAGCCAGGAAAGTCTGTGAGACTCTTATCTCCAATTAATCACAGAAAAAGCCAGAAGTGATGCTGTGGCTCAAGTGGTAGAGTGCTACCCTTGCACAAAAGGAGCTCAGGAAGAACACCTAGGCCCAGAGTTCAAGGGCCAGGACAAGTTAAAAAAAAAAATTCCCCAATTGTGGAAAAATTTTCTGTTGCTTTATAGCTATACTGTGATACCATCATTTACCCTTTTGAGGCTATTCTTACCTGTTGGGAAAACAAAAATGACTTACTATAAACCTTCTCTATGTATGAGGAAAGGGATGCCTCTTTATAATTAGCTTAGTCTTAAGTGTTGACTACCTCCCCAGATCATGAATCTTCATGTCCTTTTCACCTGAGGTATGAACTAGTAAATGCTCTGATCCAATGAAGTTTTATTGTTTAAAGCTCTTATGTAAAAAAAGTAATAAGCTCTAATTACCAAATGTTTCCTGAGTGTATTATGGCCAGAAACTTCCAAAAATTCCAGCTCACATAATTCAGAAGTGACAAAGTTTGGTAATAAAATATACAATATCTAAGACATGTACGAGTGCTATGGGAGAATAAAGAAAGAAAGAAGAGCATAAGAAGGTTGTTAGGGCAGGTAAAATCTGAACCAACACTCACAGGAAATAGGGACACAGCAGGCAAATATCTGGGGAAAATGCATCTCATGAAAGAAAGATCAGGCCCAAGGTTCACAGGCAGAACCTATGACATAGCTGAGGCCCAGCCAGAAAGCCAGGGAGGCTACACCAGAATGAACAAGGGAACAGTAGTAAGAACTAAGAACAGAGAGGCCTTGGGCAGGCAGAGCATACAGGAGCTTACTTGCCAGTAAAAGGATTTTGGTTTTCACTCAGGGCAAAACATATATCCTTTGAAGGAGTAAACTAAGCCTGATTTCCTTTAACAAGATCATCTGATTGTTGCAATGAGCATCAGCTACAGTAGGGGTAAGACAACAAGAAGGCAGGCTGAGACTACTACAATCATCATAGTGAAAGACAGTGGCAGGGCTGGGAGTGGTGAAGTGTCAGAGTCTCAATCTGTTCTCAAGGCAGAGACATTCACAAATTATTTAGCACCATAATAGTGGCTATCCTTTGAACATAGAATTCTATCTTTACCAGAGTAATTTATTACCTTTATGCTAATTAGTACCTTATCCAAAACTGTGACACTTTCAGATGTCAAAACAATCATTAAAAGTAAGACCAGTAGTAGAAAATTGACCATGGTTCAAATCATAAATCTATCTTTTACTAGCTTGATAAGTAAATGAAATACAGTATCATTATCCTCATGTAGGACATCTATAAAGTTTGTAAGTAAGGATAATGATCTTTTCTTGTTTCTTAGGGAAGGAGTAATTAATACTAAAGCTATTAGCAGAGTCTGGTCTGGCCCTGCATATTTGTTAGGGTGAAGATGGGGAATGACAGATTCACTCACAGATTCAATCTAGTAATAAGGAACTGTTAAAAAGCCTTCAAAGAATGTATAATATATAACAACCCTTTGACTTCTTACCTGAATGATGCCACCATTTGGTTGTAAGAGAAATACTGGTGATAATCATGGTGGATAGAGTGACCACAGGGCTCAGCATTGGCTCTCCGTGTGTACTGGTGCCCATAAAACCTAAGTTCCAGGTACTTTGCAAATGACATAGACCAGGATTCATTGGATAGAGCAAAAACTGGTGTCACCTGGAGTTCAGGAAAAAAATGATTGATATGCTATAAGAAAGTATCTTCTTAAGTGCATTTTCTAATACAAACAAAATATTCTGGCTGAAGAAAACCAGGGGAAAAAAAACAAGCCCTTTAAAGGTCATTGAAGAAAGAGAGCAATGACTATATGTTTGCACTCTTTCCATGTGTAAATACATAGATAAAAGCCAGTGTATTTGTTTAAAAACACGTTTTGTAATTAACTTCTTAAGTTCTTTATCTACTTAGCAATGTATCATGTTTTCCTATGTGAATATTCTTTTTACAATTTTTTAAATGGCCTCAGAGTATCCTCTCCTATAGGGTGCACACATCTAATGTGCCAGACATAAGATTTTCTATTTGAACTATCCTCCATGAACATCCTTGCCTACAAGTACTTAGAAATAGCCAAAATTATTTCCTTAGAATTAATAAAGGTAGAAATCAGTTCATCAAAAGACATTGGGTTAATGGTCTTGGATACTTTTACCATATTCACTTCTCAAAAACTGTACTGACACAAACAACAACAATACATGAGAACAGCAATCTCCCTACTTTCTTACTAATCCTAGGAATTAATTACAAATCTTTGAAATATAACTTATTTTCTTTTCCTGTCATCACTGGGGTTTGAACTCAGGGATTTGTGTTTTTCAGGCAAGCACTCTAACAAATGAGCCGTGACCCTTTTTGCTTGGTTAGAGATAGGGTCTTGCTTTTTGCCTGGTCCATGATTCTCCTATTTACACTTCTTGCAGTGGCTGGGATGATAGGTTCATGCCACCATATCCAGCTTTTCTTGTTGGGATGGGGTCTTGAGAGTGTTTTGTTCAGTGGTACCTAGAACTTTGATCACACCCCTCTCATGAATCCAAGAACTGGTTGAAATAGGGTCTCATAAACTATTTGTTCTGGTTGGCTTCATGAAATACAAATAGTGTGTGTGTGTGTGTGTGTGTGCGCATGTGTGTGTGTGTGTGTGTGTGTGTGTGTGTGTGCACCTAGGACTTGAACTCAGAGCCTAGGCACTATCTCTGAGCTTTTTTCCTCAGGGTTAGCACTCTACCACTTGAGCCACAGTTCATTTCAGGCTTTTTGGTGATTAATTGGAGATGAGAATTTCATGGACTTTCCTGCCCTGGTTAGCTCTGGACCATGAGCCTCCAATCTCAGCCTCCTAAATAGTTTGAATTATAGGCATGAGCCATAGTCACCTGGCTGAAATATGGTATCTTTAAAAAAAGAAAAAGAAGAAAAAAGAGGAAGACATTTTCCTAACTGATACTGGGTTTCATTTTTACTTTCATTACTAGTTAGTACAATTCATCTGCATTTTTGTTGGCCATCTGTATTAAATTCCTTTGTCTTTGCCCATTTTTTTCCATTACTGTGGCTTAAAGAAATCTACCATTAAGTATTTTTACTTGGTCATATATGTTGTAACTTTTCTTACTGTATAAGTGTGTCTGCTGCCCTAGAAATCAGAAGTCATTTATTTTTCTCTTTTCATCCCTAGGGCCAAGCACAATACCTGGCACATAGGTGTTTCTAAATGTCTGCTCAATGAATAATTCAGAATTATCAAGATACAATCTCAATGTATTTTCTAAACAAGACCTCACTATTTTCACTTAATGACTGATATAGTCCTAAAATATAATCTTCAAAAGGCAAATATTAGATTGAACATGTAGTATAGGAAAACTTTTTAAGGGGCCCAATAACAATAAATTGCAAAGTGGTATAGACCACTTACTCCCTACCCCCAAAACAGAACTATACAAATAAAGGTATGTCATATGAAAGTTACAGTAACAGAGTATATTTACCTGTTTACAGATTCTGCACCAAGAATATGTGAGAATTGTATGCTGGTATCCAGGTACTGGGGAATCCAACTCCTTTAGGATTATCTGCACGCAGCCTTGGCCATGGACAAAACGCCGAATGTGATGCACCATAGGGGTATCACAGAACATGCTAGGGCACTGATAAGAAGGCCTGTGACAAACAGAGAAACTCAGAACCATTGTCAAGATATCTCAGCATCTCTGTTCTTTTTGAGTTGATGTCCTTATTCTTACATGACACCTCAACATCTCAAGCTATATTTTTCTAAGAGTGTAAAAGTGCTAAAACCTAAACTGAAGTCCAGTACTTTCCTTATTTTGCATTTGAATCACTGTAAAAACAGACATCCTGAAGAAGTCTTAGGTATACTATAGTAATTAGATAGGCAATTATATAGGAACTTACTGTGACAAGATATCCTGGTCTGAACATGAAATAGATTTTGAATGAACTTCTATGATCTGGTATGAAAGTGAGGCACACAAAGTACTTTATACTCACTCTTCTATGATTCTGCTTAAAATTCTGGACTTCAAAAATGGGTAATAGTAGCTCATGTCTGTTATCCTAGCTACTGAGGAGGCTGAGATCTAAGGACCAAGGTTCAAAGTCAGCTCAGTCAGGAAAGTCTATGAGACTCTTACCTCCAATTATTCTCTTACCTCCAATTAGTCACCAAAAAAAAACCCAAAAAACAAGAGATGGAGCTGTGGCTCAAATGCTATAGTGGTAGCCTTGAGCAATAGAAGCTAAAGGACACTGCCCAGGGCCTGAGTTCAAGCCCCAGGACCAGCACACAAAAAAGTGTAATGGATGGAACTGAAGGCATGGCTCAAGTGATAAAGCATTAGTCATGAGTAAAAAAGCTGAGCAAGAGAGAGGCCCTGAGTTCAAGCTATATTACCAGCACACAAACACAACAAACATGGGCAAATAAAGCATAAGGTGGAATTTAGCTCTTACCTGAAACAATATCGTTCTAAAAATATTCCTAATGTAAGATCATTCTTTCCATAAAATTCCATTGTTACAATCCTAAAATAAGACATCAGTTGTAGAAACACATCATAAGAATTATGACAAAGTAAACACTTCAAGAGTCTACGTATTCTGATTATTAAATGAAGTATTAAAGCAGTAGTATTGGTTTAACAATGAAGTGTTAAATCAGGCAGTGTTTATTGCTGCCATAGAATAGGTGTCACTGCACCCTATCAAACAAGTTTAGACTAGCCCCATTCTATGTATCTTTCCTGGTCCATTAGGATCTTATAAAACTAATGAAGATGAATAAACCATAAGACTGATTGAGTAAAACTTACATGTATTAGGAAGAGGCAAAAGTTTTCTTTACAAAACTTGAATCCCTGTCAACATAAAAGAGGGCTCTGTCTCCTGCTACCTAATCCCTACCTTTATTAAGCATGGAGAACAACAGTTCTTATTCTAACTAAAAAGCCAATTTTTAATTTATGTCTAATTTATAAATGCCCACAAATAAGAGAGTCTGGCCATATTGAAAGTCACATCTTATGCAAGTATTGTCCTGAGGAGAAAATTCTTATAAATTTCCACATTCCCAAGTTTGAAGTATACCTGTTGGAGCTTTACTCTTCTAGAAGAATTGTTGATCTTACCGCTGTAAGTATTTTCTCTTGGCAACAGTACAAAAGTACTGTGATCTTCTACAGTGCTTGCTTGTGTGTGTGGTGCTGATGATTACACCCACAGCTTCAGACTTACTAAGTACAAACAACTGAACTACATCCTAAACCCCTCCATATTACTTTTTCAACTGAAGGTAAACTATGAAATATAAAGCTATATAAGACTACATGAAATTTTTTGGCTATTGTTTGAAATATTGTAACTTTATAAAATATATTGTTTCTGGGGCTGGGAAGGTGGCTCAGTGGTAGAGCGCTTGCCTTGCATGTATGAGGCCCTGGGTTCGATTCCTCAGCACCACATAAGCAAAAAGAAAAAAGCCGGAAGTGGCGCTGTGGCTCAAGTGGTAGAGCACTAGCCTTGAGCTGAAGAGCTGAGGGACAGCGCCCAGGCCCAGAGTTCAGGCCCCACAACTGGACCCAAAAAAAAAAAAAAAGAGGTTCCCCAGTTCCAGACCAGCCTAGGTTTTGAAACAAGATGCTGTCTCAAGAGGGAAAAAAAAAAAAAAAAATCAAGGGTGCATCACCACATCTAAGCCATGCTGACAGAATTTATAAGCACACTTCCCCTTACATCAGGGCTCTTTCTTTATTATAAGAATCCCAAAGCCCACTTACTTCATGATCCTACTTTACATTAGAAGCTAGGAGATTCATGGGTGGGCAAGGTATGGTAGTGTAGGGCAGAGTCGGGTAGGGTAAGGTAAGGTAGGGTAGGATAGGATAGCTTAAGGTAGGGAAGGAGCTAAGAGCTAGAATAAGACTGGGATAGGCCTGGAGATAATGGTAGGAATAGGACAGAGAGCACAGGGCAAGACAATGTTCAATAAACTGGCATGCACTTTATCATACTAATATATTTCAACCCTGCCATAGCAGTTTTTCCAATACATTCTAAATTTATAAGAGCACCCAAAAGTTGCCTGGCTTACCTTTGTTGACCACACTGCATCACCTGGAATGAACCCTCTCTCTTCATCACCCTCAGTTTTGTTTCCTGATTTGCAACTTGCAGTATCCTTTGAGTGAGCAAAAGGGTCTGAATATTTTGACTGAATTCTTCCTCCTCTGGCTCGATAATCAGCCAGCATTCTACCCAAACTCTGGCTATCACCCAGATGCTCAGCAATCCTGGTGCTCAGTAGCTCATGAGAGGGCAAGACTTGAATAGACTTGGTCTGGACACTTCCATTCATACCCTGAAGTCCAGAGAGATCCCTAAGCAGCTGTTTCTTCCTCCTGCTCTCCATTTCTTTGACCTCTTTATTGAGAAGAGGAGACCAATAAATCTGCTCTGGAAAATAGTCTCGAGTAGAGCACCTCATCCCCTTTTCGGTTAAAAGAAAAGGTTCCCGGAATGTTATAACAGGGGAGATACAGAGGATCACATCTTTTAATTCCTGTTTAAAGGCCAAAGAATAAGTCTTCCGGTTATCTTCACAGGAGGCGACTTGCTCAGTAACATACAATCCAGTGTCATCCTGTAGAGGGTCTCGAAAGGCTCTCATCTGGCTTTTGGGATCCTGTTGATCATCTGTTGGACGCAAAGTCTCTGGCTGTTCACTGACTACAGTGTCCTTTTGGTCCACATGGAGTGGCAATAAGGATTCAGGTACTGATTGAAAGAGAGCACAGGGGATTCCTGCTGGGCAAGTAGCTGTGGCATATTCTTGCTGCTTCAAAGAATTAACAGCCTGTGGAACACTTTTATTTTCTTGCTCACTCTTCTCAAAGGTAATCCTTGATTCCAGAAAATTGCTATCATCAGAGGACAGAGAGTCAGGAAAGCAGTCAGGATCCCGGGGGAGGGAGCTTCCACTACCCTGCTCCTGTGTGGCCTCCTCATCCCTTTGTCCCTCAATAAGAGAATGGAATGAAGGGCTCTGCATCAATGTAGGAGGCATAGCAAATTCATCCATGAGGAAGGAGATTTCGAGTTGAGAATGATAAGCTACACATATCATAAATATTAGGATCTCTTTAACTCGAGCCAACTCATAATCAGAACCTCCTCTGAGCTTAACTGTACAGCCCAGGTGCTGGGGACAGCCCTCAAAAAACATCAGCGTTTTGGTTTGTTCTACAAAGAAACAAACAAAAAATTAAGAGGTTTAGATGACAACCCAGAAGTACAGTCAGAATTCACAATATTAATATCTACATAAGAAAAAGCCCTTATGGGAATAAAACCACAGATACTTATCCTCTCTTCACCATGGCTAATAGATATTTCCTAAGTACTGTAGTACTGCAATGTGTATTAGAAAGTAATTTATTTCTTCAGATCCCCATTATCAAGTGAATTTTTGCTAAGGATGACTCACCATTAGGCAGCTGAAATATCTGCATATAAAATTTGTGACAAGTACCCAGTTGTGGTTTCGTGAGTAGCTGGTCCATGGACATCACTAAATCACCTTGTGTCATCCGGCTGATCCGTTCTAAAACTTGCTACAATAAGAAAAACATTACATTAAAAAATTGGATATGATTAAAAACCACATGAACTTGAAAAGGTAACAGGAAAATTAAAAACCCTCCCAATAAATTTCCAAAATTTTAATAATTCTAACAAAAACTTTTCGCTCCAGACTGATGAAGAAACAAACTGCAGCCTGAGATTTTTCCTGCATTCTGCAGGAAAGCTTTTCAAGAAAAAGAAATTTCTGCTCATATCATTCCCAACCCAAGTAAGAACCAACAAATACATACTCATTAAGTAATGTCCACATCACGGTTGGCATTACAGATATCTATAATAAGTGTAACAAAAATAACCACACTTCCTTCCCATGTGAGATTCTCCAGTCTTAATGATGAAATAGCTACCATGCTTTCTGTCTCATTTTCAATGAATATGGTACAGCAAAGAAATATTCTTGCATATCTACCATATGTGAATACAAATTTAAACGCTGTAATTTTTAAAAAGTGATATAAAAATAGAAAAATAAGAACACTTACTGACTTTACATTAATGACCAGAGTAATGCCATGTTCCAATAACATATCCTGGGCGATTCGAGACACTGTTTTCTCAACTAGAACCAATGTAGGTCGAACATCAACAATTCGTTGAACATAATTCTTCAAAAATTCTCTTTCCTAAGTTAGACAAATCAGAAATATTATATCTAGTATGATTTAGGATCTGGACATATTAAAATACCATGACTGGGGCTAGAAGCATGGCTCATATGGTAGAATGCCAGTAAATGAGTAAACCATCAGGAACCTAGATCGTGTCTCAGTCTCAAAACAACAACAAAAAAGAAAATAACAAGATAGTTTGAAGATTAATATCACATCTAATTTTTTTTATCCATAAATAAGTCTATAACCAAATAAATTCAAATACACCAAGAATTTCAATCATCATTCTAAATACTTATTATACTAAAAAGACTTCTTAGATTTTTAATTCATAATAATCTATAATACAGTGCCAACCTCTGAGATTTCTTGGTTTTCTTTTAAACCAGAAGAGCAACAAAACCTAACTTTACAACCTTCACAATGAAAACAAGTTCTAAGCATCTTTAATATGGTTATGAGTTGCCTTCTTAATTCTGAAACCAACTAGGATATATCTTTTTCTGGCTATCAGGAAAAATAACTCTCCAGAAAATGTACTTCAGCTACTTTCTAATTCCAATCTCCCAATAGATCATATTGTTTTACCAGGATAGCTATAGCTAAAGATAGAATACAATGCTTCATAATTTCATCACAAAGAGTTCATTTCAAACCAAAGACTAAATAATAACACAATGAGGATGACACCATTCCTTAACTTTCATTTTCTTAACTTCTGGGCTCCACAAAGGAGACAATAAAAAGTGAGCCTATTTGTAACTTCTATTCTGTGTACCCAATGTTTTTTGTTGGTTTTGGTTTTGGGGTATTTTTGGTGGTGGGGGCTGAACTCTGGGCCTGGGCGCTGTCCCTGAGGTCTTCAGCTCAAGGCTAGTGCCCTACCACTGAGCCCCAGCACCACTTCTGGCTTTTTTCTGCTTATGGTACTGAGGCATTGAACCCAGGGCCTCATGTATGTGAGGCAAGCACTCTACCACTGAGCCACCTTCCCAGCCCCCAAAGTGTTTTCTAAGCAAGACTATATTAATGTTCACAGTCACCAAGAGGTTTTTGGGTTTTTTTGTTTTTTGTCGGTTGTGGGACCTGAACTCTAGGCCTGGGCGCTGTCACTCAACTCTTCAGCTCAAGGCTAGCACTCTACCACTTGAGCCACAGCACCAATTCTGGCTTTTTCTGCTTAGGTGGTGCTGAGGAATTGAACCTAGGGCCTCATACATGCAAGGCAAGCACTCTACCACTGAGCCACCTTCCCAGTCCCTCACCAAGAGGTTTTTTGGTATTTTGCTTTTTGGTCTTTTTTTCCTCCTTTGCCAGTTTTTGTTTTCTGTACCTTTTGTCTTATATGTAAGTTTATCTGTCTTTGGGAGGGTAAGGGAGAACACAGGAATGATGGGACAAAGGGCTAAAAAAATGCAGCAGTGATACTCACTAGACACTATGTTGAAAATGAGCTATACAACTGGTAAGGGGAGTGGTCAGGAGAGAAAAACTGGGAGGAAACAAAAGAAGAGGTGACACTGTTCAAAAAGAAATGTACTGGGCTGGGAAGGTGGCTCAGTGGTAGAGTGCTTGCCTTGCATCCATGAGGCCCCGGGTTCCATTCCTCAGCACCATATAAGCAGAAAAGGCCGGCAGTGGCACTATGGTTCAAGTGGTAGAGCATAAGCCTTGAGCTGAAGAGCTGAGGGACGGCGCCCAGGCCCAGAGTTCAGGCACCATGACCAAAAAAAAAAAAAAAGAAATTACTAATTACCTGATTTATGCAACTATAACCTCTCTGTACATCACCTTTACAATAACAATTTTTTAAAAAGAATGTATGGGTTTATTCACTGAACAAAACATTACATTATAAAAAGTACAAAAACATTACAAAAAGTAATGTATTTTTCCTTTGTTTTACTGATAGGAACTATTTATTTCCAGTGGGCATGATGGTGCACTCCTAGAGTACCAATAGCTGGGGCACTGACAGGCTCCTAACTTAGTCATAAGTTTTAGGCCAGCCTGGGCTACACAGTGTGACCCTATCTCCAAACAAATTTTACATTTTCCAATTCTGCCTTTATTAGCAATATGGAGGGTTTTTTTTTCCTGAAAAGGAATTTCCTACACTGTTCATTAAATTATAACTTAATAATACTTAATTTTTTATTTCTGCAGCTCCAATTAAGTATAATTAAATTTCTAAGCCAGACATGATGGCAAATGCCTATACTCCTAGCACTTGAGGCCCAAAGATTTCAAGTTTAAGACTAGCCTGATTTATACAACAAGACCATGTCTGAAACAAAAGTTTTCTGCCTTGGGTACCAGACTGGCAATAACTATCCTCTGTTTCAACTCTATTCAACTATGACTATATATGAATCAATGTGTTTATAAGGATGTCTATTCTGAGTCTAGCCAGTTAAGTGTTAGGAGGTAGGCCAATGAGCACAGTGGATCAGAGCAGACCAAGAGATCTAATGTAATCAGCCTTATGAAGACATAATAAAGTCAGTCACAACCTGATAGACAAGTACTCTTCCATATGAGCCACACCCACCAACTCTTTCTGCTTTAGTTTATTATTATCTAAGACAGTCTCACACTTTCCCCAGGGCCAGCCTTGAACTATAATTCTCCCATCTCCACATCCCTGGTAGCTGGAATTACACATGGGCAACACTAAGCCCTGAAATCATGTTTCAACACATATTTGTCCCAAACCAAAACATTCCTCTTTAACATAAAAAGACTTAAGTTTATTAACCTGTTGCAAGAATGGAGTCATAATACATAAATTAAAGTAAAATTGTGTGTGTGTATGTGTGTTTGTGTGTGTGCTTGAACTCAGGGACTGGGTACTGTCACTGAGCTCAAGGATAGTGCTCTACCACTTAGGCCACAGCTCCACCTCCAGCTTTTTGGTGGCTAACTAGAGATAAGGGTCTCACAGATTTTTCTTTTCCAGTCTGGCTATGAATCTCAATCCTCAGATCTCAGTCTCCAAAGTAACTAGGATTACAGGTGTGAACCACCAGCACCCAGAGCTGAAGTATAACTTTCATAAATAATATCTGTAGATTACAACTAGCCTATTTCACCAAATCCAAGACATACATATATTTATTATACACATTAATTTGATGTATTTTAATTTCTCCACAACCAGGATGCATCAAACTATCAATCCAATTGTTATCTAACCCAGCACATGGGCTGGGATGGTGGTAGAACTCATGAGGGGCAAGTGTCAAGCCTTGGGTTCAATCCCCAGCACCAGAAACAAAAGACTCAGCATTAAAATAGCTTAAGTTCCCTATACAAGAATAATTCTGTTTCTCCTTATTCCTTATAAGTTCTCTATTAAAAATAGCAAATCAGAGCAAGGAAAAACTGATATAAATCTAATCAAAACCCTTTATTTTTGCTGATCAATATAGTCAAATTATACAAGAAGCTTCCAGGTAACCGACCTCATTAAATAATACTACAACTCAGTTTTACTTATTCAAATCTATGAATTCAGTACAAAAGTGATTGTTCCTTCAAACAATGTGAGTACTTATAAATTTTCAAAACTTTTTCGTTACCTATTTCTGGAACTGGGTATGTTTCCCTACAATACAGTATTTACATTTCTGAAAACCCTCCTGTTTCAAATGACCGATAGGGCTTGAGTCAGAATACTTAAAAACCAACCAAATTCACATCAATGGCACTAACAAAATAATTAGGTGAGTTATCAAAGAATTTGGACAACACTGGCACACAGTTCAGCATGGATAGAGACTGTCCTGCGGGAAATTAAAGTGCACAAAAACAAATGCAACAGTACAGTAGAGATGAAACTTTAGGCTGGGGAGTATGCCTCCCTGGGGAGCAAGTCCAGCAAGAAGACACTCACTTTAAACTTTTTAAAACACCAATGGAAAGATTTGCATTGGAGATGATCCAAGGATGTTTTCTTTTCTAGATGAGAGTTACAATCTTACTCCAGCTATTCCAAAAATCCTTGCTTAGGAAAAAAAAAAAAAAAACTACAAAGAAACCAATGCAATTCCTATCTGGTATTATTCCTCTACCTGCCAACTACATGCAAGTTTACTGATGTTCCAGAAGTGAATATAGTCATACCGTATTAAAACTAGAGATTCTACTTGGGATCTGAAAAGTTGAAGAAATTTGGCCAGTTAATCAATGGCCTGAACAAGAAAGAGAAACAAACCAGTATTTACAGTTTTACTTTTTCCTTCTATATATTGCCAGTTGTGTTCCTTTACACACTTTGTAACCTTAACGTATGACAGAGATTTTGATAGACTAATTCTAAAGTGAAATACATGAAAGTGCACTTTAAAATAAATCATGGCATGTAACAAGTTTCCTTTTTAAATACTAAGGGATGGCAAACATCATAGTAGACAAACATTCTCCCACATTATTACTTTCATTAGTAAGTTCTTACCTGAAGCACAATAGGATCAATGCAAGTAAATTTAGTTTCTTCTCTGTAGAGATACTCAATGGAACACTTCAACAGAAGAATTTGGGGATTCTTAATACAAGAATTCATCTACAAAAAAAAAAGCAGTTCGCTAAAGCTATTAAAGATTTATACTTCAGATGACTTTCAATCGTAACTTTAAATTTGTACTGTTCATAATTCCTAACTTCACAACCAGGCACCAGTAGCTCATCAGGTGGGATGAGGTTGGGATCTGAAGACAGAGGTTTGAAGCTAGCCCAAACAAACAAATCCAAGAGACTCTTTAATTAACCATCAAAAACTGGAACTGGAGGTATGACTGAAGGGGCAGAGTATCAATCATGAGTGAAAAGCTAAGCAAAAGTACAATCCCTAAGTTCAAGCTCCAGTAGCACAAGAAAAAAAAGTACTTGACTAACTTCACTATATTAGTGTAATTACACTCCCTTTAGGTCCTTTTGGGCTAGCCTCTTTTCAGTTTTCAAAGTAAATAAATTTGCTTTTCAGATTACTACAAAATGCTTCAAAAACTGACTCTTTCTTATTACTAGCTTAACCTCTATACACATAACCATTTTTTAAAGTTATTTCTATTATTGTAAGAAGAGATGTTATGACATGGGTTGGGGTAAAGTCTTACAGGCAATCTATTTCACAATTTCAATTTTTCTAAAATTCAAAAGAAGGGGATTGGAGGCATGACTCAGCTGGTAGGATACCAGCCAATGAATGGAAGTGTCATATACTGAGTTCAAGTCTCAGTCTCAGACAAAAAAAAAAATTAAGTGGAGTAAAAAATTTAAAAATGCCTCCTCTAAGCATACTTTTAATAGAACCAGTTTCTAATCAATCGTTAATCAAGCAAGCTAAATTGGGTAACATGAAAAAAGAAAACCTTAAAACATTTCTAAAGAATAGAGTTGAACAATACACTCCAACCATACAAATAAAGCTAAAGACAGAATAGCTTGGGCTGGGAAGGTGGCTCAGTGGCAGAGCGCTTGCCTTGCATGCCAGAGGCCCTGGGTTCGATTCCTCAGCACCATATAAGCAAAAAGAAAAAAGCCGGAAGTGGCGCTGTGGCTCAAGTGGTAGAGCGCTAGCCTTGAGCTGAAGAGCTGAGGGATAGCGCCCAGGCCCAGAGTTCAGGCCCCATGACCAGACCCAAAAAAAAAAAAAAAAAGACAAAATAGCTTGAATCCTATAATCAAAGTTTCAAACTGACCAAGCTCACAGACTATGAACTGGCAAACAGTTCTGAGAACAGAGACTAAATAGGAATCTATATTCAGGACTCTTAGCAACAGCAAATTAAAGACTATCACTAAATATGATTAGTGGGAAAAACCAGTAATTCATGCATATGTTTCTTCCACACCCACCTATGATTTTCTTCAACTTGTGTGAGAATGTAACATATATACCTCTTAATTCAATAACCATAATTTAATTTGGATTTAAATACTACTTGTAAAAGATAATATTGTTTTAGTAACACTATATATGAAGATGCCAAATGATTTTGGATCAAGGCAATAAAATATTGTTTTATAATAAAACATACTTTTATTTATGATCATTAAAATTTTTCTGAAGGCTAAATGCCTTACAGTTAGCCCACTATATCACAATTTCCCTTACAGTCAGCCCTCTATATCACAATTTCCCTATCTGTGAACTCAATCTAGGGATTCAATCTACTGCAGACAGAAAATATCGGACAGAAGAATACTGGCTCTTATATGATCAGATAATTTCTTCCTATCATCATTCCCTAAATAAATCGTCATAAAAACTATTTGCATGCCATTTAAATTGTAGAATAACTAATCTATAGACAATTTAAACTGTATAAGAAAGTGTTTATATTTGAATGCCATACCATTTTATATAAAGTGCTTGAGCATCCTCAGATCCCCAGGGGACCTTAGAACCAATCACCCATGGAAACCAAAGGACAATCAACTGTGTTTGTCTACACTTATAAGAATGAAACAGACTAAGGGACTACAGTCCAGTCATCTAGTTGCTCAGGCTAGAATTTGCCTCAGCTTTTGCTATACCAAAATCAGTGTCCCCAGAGATGAGGACAGAGTTTCTCTAGGTTTCTTAAAATTCCTTCTGGTGATTCTGAAGCATACCAAGGTCTACAAACATGGATGTGGATCAATGGCTTCTGAAAATGAGAACCAACAAATGACATTGGAAATATGTGAAATGCCTGTCCACATTAAATGCTGTACCACTCTTTCTCTCTTTATCTTTTCCATACTCTTATTCTTCTATATCTATGGAATGGTAATTTCTAGATGAATTTAGGGATCCACACATTTATTGGGTTCACAAATGATCTAGGGCTGGGAAGGTGGCTCAGTGGTAGAGCACTTGCCTTGCACGCATGAGGCCCTGGGTTCGATTCCTCAGCACCACATAAGCAAAAAGAAAAAAAGTGGCGCTGTGGCTCAAGTGGTAGAGCACTAGCCTTGAGCTGAAGAGCTGAGGGGACAGCGCCCCAGGCCTAGAGTTCAGGCCCCCACTCCCGGACCCAAAAAAAAAAAAAAAAAAACACAAATGATCTTGGTATACACTGTACTTTAAGAATCAGAAGCCTTCATAACATAGTTTAAGATGCTTAGAGGAGTCAGGCAAAGTGGCTCATACTTATAATCTAAGCTAATTGGGACATGGAGGTAAGAAGTCATCTAGAACCAAGTTAACAAGACCCTATCTCAAAAACAAATATAAACAGAGCTGGGGGTGTGGCTCAAGTGATAATTCTGAGTTCAATCTCCAGTAAAGATCTATAGTGAAAGATAAGTATTCAAATGTTTTTTTTTTCTTTCCTGGGATTGTTTCTAACATATTTATTTATAAGATTATTTCTTTGTTGATTTGTATGTCCCTCCCCCATGGTATAACCCATGCTTTCACTGTATTTGATGTTGATATAATTTGTGGAGGGGAAGAGAAAAAACAAATCGTTTAAATAGGGATACAGGTGGATCCATTGCAACAGTGAGATATACAAGTCATTATGTCGAAAAATGAACTTTACAACTTTGGTGGGGTGGGGGGGGAAGGATTGGGTGGGTGGGGGTGGGATGAGAAGAGATGGGAAGGGGAAACAAAGGAGGAGGCAACGATGCTTGATAAGAAATGTACTCATTATCTTTCCCATGTAATTGTAACCCCTCTGTATGGTATTTTCACAAAAAAAAAAAATAGTGAGGGGGAAAAAAAAAAAAAGAAATGCACAGAAAAAAAAAAAAAGACCTGTAGTGGAAAACAGAGCTCTTGAGATTAGAAAATTTTTTTAATATCCAATGTAACCTAACCCCATTTTGTTCTAATGCTAGGAAGAAGCCTCAAGACAGAGAGCAGAGATACAGCAGAAGAGAAGGATAACAGTGATAGATAGCTCTATAGTTCACCCTACAAGAAAGTCCAGTTTTCCCATGCTAAGCTTTCTGAAAGACTCCTATCTATTACAGAAACCCTATCTCTTTGAAATGATATCATCTGGTGAATTCCCGTTACCAAAATTTCCATCTACTTGTCCGCAGCTCTGGAGACCCTCCACAAACCTCCTACTAGTTGCCCTTTTATGTCCATTCTACTTTTTACTACCATGATTTAGAAGTTGCCAGGTACCAGTGGCTCCTAAGTGTAATCCTAGCTACTCAGGAGTCTGAGACCCTGAGGATCCTGTGGATCAAAGCCAGCCAGGGGAAGAAAGTCTGTGACATTTTTCTCCAATTAACCACAAAAAATGTGCAAGTGACAGAATATGACACAAGTGACAGAATGCTAGCCTTGAACAAAAAAGCTAAAGGTTGTGCCAAGGCCCTGAGTTCAAGCCACAATACTGGCACACACACACAAAAAAAATCCACTGCTCACCCAGTCATATTTTGAAGAATTTCACTGTTGATCTGAATCATATTACCTTTTTATGTGCGATGTTCTTGGTACAAACAAAGCCACTGACAACCACAGAATCAAATTTCTTTCCACCTGGGATCTAATGGAGCAATCAAGAAAATAATAAAATTCAGTGATAAAGTCTTAAATCATAGATGGATATTATTATATCTTAACATTTTAAAAGATTAAGGACAAAATGTTCCAGAACATAGTTCTTCCTTTCAACCCATCATTAATGGCAACCCAGCGTGACTGCCTGTTTTTTTACACCTTTCTCACTAAATGGAGGGCTGGGGAATGTCCAGCTAATGGGGACCTATGAGCCTTTGAAAATATTTGGTCTGTCTCTGCCAAGTCCATAGCAGGTGGGACTTACAATTCAGTAAATATAGGAGCTTTTTCATAGCAACATAAACATCAATGTTAGCAAACATCACACACCTCACCAAAAACAATCAGTTCTAGCCATCACATTAGGAGTGAGTTGATCAAACACCTGGTCAAATATAGCAAGCTAATTTCTAAGTTAGTAATTTTGTATGACCCATGAGTGAAGTTTCCAAATGGCCCTTGGCAGAAAAAATAGGCTCCTCACATATTCTCTAATGTGATTTATCATACTCTAAAATACTAACAAAATTGGTTCCTACAGCAATTGAATCTGCAATTATATAAGTTAAATATCTTAGGCAAAAAAAAAAAAAAAAAAATGCATGCAGGGCTGGGAAGGTGGCTCAGTGGCAGAGAGCTTGCCTTGCATGCTCACGGCCCTGGGTTCAATTCCTCAGCACCACATAAGCAAAAAGAAAAAAACCGGAAGTGGCGCCGTGGCTCAAGTGGTAGAGCGCTAGCCTTGAGCTGAAGAGCTGATGGACAGTGCCCAGGCCCAGAGTTCAGGCCCCACGACCGGACCCAAAAAGAAAAAAAAAAATGCATGCAATACTCTACTACTATATAATTAAAGCAATTACCCATCACTTTTCCACAGAATAGTGACAGTGAACTGTAAGAACAGGCTTTCTCATAACAGATGTGTCAAAAAGAGGAAGTAACAAAGGAAGAAACTATATTTATTTGGATTCTCAGTAATCTCTACCCAACTTATGCCTTCAGTCCAACTCTCACTTCCTATGAGTGGTCCCCCCACTAATCCCTACATGTACTTTGCTAAGTAGACAGCAAAACCCTCCACTGATCACCTAGCTAAACTCAAGACAAGGACTCAAGATTAATATAAAGGACAAATTACCAATTATCATCAGCTCCTAGCATTAGAAAAATATAACAGAACGTACCTTTTTGATGTGAACAAACTGACGTATATCCATATCATCGTCCTGGTGCTTAACATCAGGTCGAACTGTTTGCACAACCTGGCAGACCAGTGACACAATGATGTCCCTCCAAGATGATGACAATGACTCATTATGGAGCAACTGCTGGAGTAGTGCCATCATGTGGTTATGATTGGCTGAACTACAAAAACATTACAAGAAAGTTGCATAGTTAATATAGTAATTGTACAAATGAAACAAGCAATCTGCAAAGAAAACAAGCATTTCAATGGCTATTGATCAATTTTATTCTTTCAATACATTTTTATCTTAGTTTTACACATGAGATCCATGACCATCAGATATTCCCTTTAATTTACTCAAGTGAAATTTTGACATGTAAATTTAAATAGAAACAAGTCATTTAATGCCCTTTTTATAAGAAATATATCTTCTTAGTAGTTACAGTACTTTTGACTTTATAAAAAGAAAGAATTATGTATAAGCCTAAAATACTAAAGATATAAAAATTAAAATGAAAAAGTTCATTGCCAGCCAAGCAGCGGTAGCTCACACCTTGTAATCTGAGGATCATGATTCAAATTGGTCAGGGCTAAAAATCCATGAACTCTTATCTTCAATTAACCACCATAAAACCAAAAGTAGAGCTGTGGCTCAAGTGGCAGAGTTTTAGCCTTCAGCAAAAAAAAAAAACAACACCTCAGAGACAATGTCAGGCCCTAAATTCAACCCCCAGTACTAGCACCTAAGTAAATAAATAAATTAAAAGCTCATTATCTTACAGCAATCTCTCCATTGCTTGTTTTTCCCCATTTTCCTCTCTTAGAAGCTCCAGGTTGTTATGATGCCAGCCCAAAGGTGTGAAAGGCAGTTCTTTGGATTTTTCTTCTACTCGACGATTAAATAAGGATTCTAAGTATAGGACAAGAAGTCATTACTTCATTATCATATTCTATGTCATCTACTCATATGCTTAGAATTTAAAAACTTATTATTTATTGCTATAAAATGGCAATAACACATAATACATAAATTATATAAGCTACATAAAAATGTAATACATAAATCCATAAAAATATATAATACACAAATACATATGTACATACATAATCACGTTTAAAATACAGCAGCTTGATTTATAGCTCAATGATAGAGCAATTACATAATTATGTACAAAGCTATGGATTTAATACACAGCACCACACACACACAAGAAAAAAATTACAGAAACAATTGGTAAAAGCTAAAACTTGAGACAAAACTTGAAAAAGTAACTTTCCATAAGTAAATAGGACTTTCATGTCACTAAAATAAACATGGCTTCTAAAAGGAAAAATGAAATTTCTGTACTGCCTGTTCTTTTTGTTTTGGGTTTTTTTTTTTTTGAGCACTGGTAGAGTAAGTGGTAATTTTCCCTACAAAAATCACAAACTAGAACTGAATTCAACTAAAATCTGAATACTGGTACAACAATGTATGGTAGTATAGGTACCCAAGTTTCATGAAAGAAGCCCCACTCACATATCCCAAACAGTAAGGTAACAATGCAGAAAGTCTACTCAGATGGTCCTCCATGGTACTACTTTTTCAATATTGGTACTGAGGTTTTTTAACCAAATTTTAACAAGACTGACTGAAATTAAGCTATAAAAATATTAAAACATGAAGAAAAGCATGACCAGTGGCTCACATCTATAATCCTAGCTACTCAGGAGGCTGAGATGTTGAAGTGCAGTTCAAAGCCAGCCCCAACAGGAAAATCTGTCACACTTTTATCCAATTAGCCACCAGAGAAGCAGGAAGTTGAGCTGTGACTCAAGTAGCAGAGTGCTAGCTTTGAGCATAGAAGCTAAGCGACTATGTCTAGGCCCTGAGTTTAAGCCCCAGTACTAGCACATGCATGCACACACACATACACACACAAGCAATTTATATCAAATTTTGTAAAATCTTTACATTTTTCAGATGAGTGAAAACAGATCAAGATAAAACAATTAATAAACAAATGCTTTGCAAAAATGATGTTCATTAAACAATTGCAATGCTCACTAAACTATTTTTTAGTCACATTATTATTGAACGCTATTATTACTGAATAGGAAGATTAAATAACTGAAAAGAGGTGGGAAATGTTTGCAAAATGCTTACCATTATCTTTTTAAAGCAAACCAATCAAGAAACAAAATTTCCACTAACTCAGCAAACAACCATATTAAAACAAGTGCCTCTGAGTATGAAGTTTATGACTAGCACATTCCAATTACATCAACAGCCAGTCTGTAAACTTCCAGTTGAACCAGATATTTGGAAGTAAACTAGAAAGACTGCCAAGTTATGAGATCAGCTGCAATTGGCCTCCCCAGTTTACCGTGTGCTACCTTCTCTCTTTTATCCTTAACCGAAAGCCAAAAAGGACCCCCTTATCCCTTTATTTGAGAACTAAACTGTGGCAGCTGTGTATTAACTAGAATGTCTTTACTCTATAATAAGCAAAATAAGAAGGGATTTTTTAAAAGCCTATATTCTTCTATACCCCTTTGTCCCAAAGAAGTTGAATAGCAGAGTTATTTCTTTATCCCTCTGCTACTTCTCTTTCTAACTATGCAAATATAAGTTGCGCCCTCAAGTAGCTGAATATCTTCCTGTGAGCTTTTTGACAAACTTGCCAATCCTTGATGATATGTACCTATCAGTACTTACTATTACAGTCATGGTATAGAAAGTATAAGCTATTTTATACCATAAAATTCAAATTCTTTTAAAAAACTTTTACAATTACTTTTCAAATCAGAAATAATTCTTCTCTCAAACCAAGTCCAAGTTTATATTATCTTTCAACATTATCACATCATTGAACATCTTCAAAATTACTTTCATGTGACATTAAAACAAACATACTTTCAGCCCTTCCTCTGTTGGAATCAATGCATTAGGACCTAAGTATACACTCAAGAACAAAAGAGACAACCCCATACATACACAGCCATTCACAAAATTACCTTTGATGAAGGCATCACTTATTGAGAGCTGTTGTCCTCCAGTGTCAGAAATCAAATACTCTGCAAAGCAGGGAGAGAACAGATAGGAGGAAGGAAAAAAAAAAAAAGACATATGACTACAATATGCCAAACTAATTATAGAGAACACACCCACACCCAGCAGTCTATTACTCATACTAAACGTATAACTATGCAGTAAACTGAAGAAACTTCTTCATACTTGTATACATTTCCTGCTAACCTTAATAGACTTGAATAATTTAACAGAACCATTAAATAGTTTGCCTTAATTCAAATGTTAGCTCATCTATAATAGATCATTTTCCCGAATGAGAAGTATTCAGTTACCAAAGCTGAAAAAGTTTATAAAACTCAAATTTTTAGTAATGACTAGCCCATTCTACTGTACAACTACACAGTTTAACAAATAATGACTCTGTCTACATGCAAAGTAGTTCATAGAGAAGCCACCTTAGAAAACAATGTAAAATGTTTTTAGTTTCACAGAACATAAGTTACAAAACAAATTCATATAAAAGTAACACTAAAAGAAAAAGATCAGGTTTTAAAGTTTTGAATTCTAACCAAATACTTCCAAAAAGTTTTGGAACAGTTTGCTGAATATACTCCTGCTTTCAAAAATTTAAATGATTTTCTTACAAGTGAAACTTCCACTTTACTTCCTCTTTAAACTTTTCTTTTGGTAGATGAGCCAACATAACTTAAATGGGGTCCTGGTTCTTTCTACTATGCAAATAAAACCACAACCCCTTTTTTTTTTTTTAAGAAAGTCTCACCAGGTAGTCTAGTTTCCAAGTTTCTTGATCTTCCTGTCTTACTCTCTCAAATGATGGGATGACAGGTGACCACAATATAATTTAACTCCTTCAAGATAAACTTTTTTCCAAGTTCATTTATAAACAAATGGGCCTTAAAATCCAATGTATTCACTGTAAGCCAATACACGCATCTCTCAAAAGCAGAGGAAATATTTCAAAAGTGCAAGTGCATCATGTCAAAAATACAACATAAACAACCAAGTATGCATATAAGCCAGATACTATGCCTTATTTCTACACTTGCCTCAAAAAAGTGTAGTTCAACTAAGTATTATTTTAAACAAGCATTACTTCTTCCACCAAAACTTAGATTACAGAATTTGTTTTTCCTTAATACATTAGGAAAAAAAATTTCAAACATACACAAGAAAAAAATTTTCAAACATATATTTCTACCTAGATTCAATATATTGTATTGTCTATCTAGATTCAATAACTGTTAAGGATTTGCTACATCTGTTCTCTCTACACTATTTCCTGACTAACTTTAAAACACTCTACCCCTAATACTTCATCATTCAGTTTTAAAAAATAAGGGCATCCTTCTTTACAGCACAATACCATTTACATCCTTAAAAAACTGACATCTTAATATCAAATTAAAATTTATTCAACCGTTAAATGTCTTTAATAGCTTTTCTCTTCCATCAAACTTGATGAAGTTCATATATGTCAATTTGGTTGTCTCTCTTTGTTTTCTAATCCACAAGACCTCCTTCCTTTTTCCTTTAACGATGATGAATTTTGGAGAACATAGGACAAATGTCCTGGGCCACATACTCTGGACCCAAGCAACTGTTTCTTCATTGTATATTTAAACTGCTCTTCTATCCAGTTTTTTTCCTACATAGAGAAAATTAGATCTATGGCTTTTCACTTTCTAAGTACTACTTGTCCAACTTTCTACTTGTCCAACTTTCCAACAATGGTTCATGTAACAAAATATATTTTAATTGTACAAACCTCCAAGTCCAATAGTGAAAAATGAACTAAAGATCACACTTCCCTTAAGAAATTTCTAAAAATAAGAGACTTAGAAATTTTATGAACCATTTATTCGGGAGGTGAAAAATACTGGGGTTTTAACTCAGGGCCTCAGGCTTACTAAACAGGTACTCTGCTATTAGTACAGCCACACCTCCAGCCCTTTTGTGCTTGTTATTTTTTGATAGAGTTTTGCTTCCTGCCTGAGTGTAGACATGAGCTAAAATCCTCCTACCTTAAGATTCCTGTAATAACTAGGATAATATGCATGTGCTACCATGCTTACCCTCAGTTATAAGAGATTTTGCAAGTTTTTCTACATGGGCTGGCCTTCAACTTCTATCCCCCTCATTTCAGCCTCTCAACAAGCCACCAGTATCTGGCTAAGCAGTTTGCTTTTTGGAAAAAACCACAAGCAAAACAAATTTCGTAAATCTAAATTTCCTCAGCCATAAAAAGTCTAGGTGCCAGGTGCTGGTGGCTCACGCCTATAATCCTAGCTACTCAGGAGGCTGAGATCTGAGGATCACAGTTCAAATCCAGCCCAGGCAAGAAAGTCTGTGAGACTCTTATCTCCAGTAAACCACTAGAAAACCAGAAGCGGCGCTGTGGCTCAAGTGGTAGAGCACTAGCTTTGTACTGAAGAGCTAAGGGATAGCACCCAGGCCCAGAGTTCAAGCCCCACAACCGACAAAAAAAAATTTCTTAATAAATTATAAAAAAAAATAGGCTAAGCCATAAGAAAATATTTAGTAAGTATTATCTTTCATTTCAAAAATAAATAAATAAAAGACAGCTATTCCCATTTTTATTTATTTAACAGGAATGAAAACTTTTACTTCCTGGTAGTCCATGTTCATCTTCTCTACAATTCAGAGCAAAACATTTTATTATATTTCAATCTTGTAAGAGAAAGGGATAAGGAATAATTTTTAGTACACTAAAGCCTAGTAAGGTCTATGACTCATGCCTATAATTGTAGCTACTCAGGAGGCTGAGATCTGAGGATCATGATTTGAAGCCAGCCTGGGCAATAAAGTTAGTGAGAATTTTATCTCCAACTAACCACCAAAAAGCCAGAAGTAGATCTGTTTTCAAGTGGTATAGTGCTAGTCTTGAGTGAAAGAAGTTCAGGGACAGCAGCCAGGCCCTGACTTTCAAGCCCCAAACTAGCCCAAAAAGAAAAAAAAAAAATAGTGAGAAAGAATTGTGCCTTAAGGAATCTTTAAAGTCCTCAAATTATAGACTATCAAGGTAGCAGATGACCACAGGTCCACCTTATAATTACCTCCTGTCTAATGCTGGAATTTTCTCTATTATAACTTTTTGTTCTAAATCAAGATTTTCCATTTCAAATACTTGGAATCAAAAGGAACTTTAGAAGACACTAAGTCCACCTAGCCTCTCATCCAATGCGGTATCTGTTCCATAACCCTGACAGGTGTACATCTAGGCATGTGTCAGTGCCTGGACATATCAACGCACAGTGGCATCACAACTCCTAACTACTGGGCCTAACTTTTCCTTTAGCCAGAAACAAAATAAATACAATTTCTTTTGGTGACTCTTTAGATAGTTATAGGCAACAAACAGAAAGTCTTCATTTCCCCACTTTCAACATGTAAGCCCTTTAATCTTTTTATAGCAATTTTTATTGTGATTGATTACATAAATTTCACAATTTTCACAGTATAGTAAGATAGTGATATTTAGTTAAAGTCACAAAGCCCTTTAATCTTAATTTAGCAACATTTTCAAGTGTCTCAGGATCCTGGCAGCCTCTCCCTCTATTCAGATTGAACTGAACAAAAAACTTCAAATTGGGCCCTCATTCTAGACATCAGACTATTGCTAAAGAAACATCACTGCATTCAAGCAAGAGGAAGGGAAGTTTTATCAATCAGATGAATAACTCAGAATGGTTTCCCCCAGAATATTAGTAGTAAACATTTTTAAAGCCTTGTTCTTAGTCTATTACTTAAGAAAATAAAGTATTTAAATTTTTATTTCTTCAAGCTATTCTTTCTAGATCATAATGACTTAGTAAATTTAATGATTTGTGGATCTGGAAAACACTGAAAGTATAGACCTTTTTTAAAAAGTGCTGGGAGGAAAAAAAAAGTGCTCAGCAATATTGAATATACCCAGACCCCTCCCCACAAAAAAAACACTTCTCTATTACATAACTAAGGAGCTGCTGTTTCCTCCTGTTGTTAGACTGGTCCTGATCCTTAGATATATGGCATAAACATTAACGTGAGCTACAGGTCCGTGTGTTAAGACTTAGTAGTGGAACTGCTGAGCTCTTTCACTCACCAAACACACTATATTCTGTGTGGCTTTTCATAAAAAAAAAAAAAAAAAAAGTTTGTAGCTTTGTATGATTGCTACAGGCTAGGGAATAAGGAGCAAGTTTCAGTGAGATAGCCAGAAATAAGGTTTTTTTTGTTTTTGGGGGGTTTTTTTAGTTCTATTATAAATCATGATGACTGCAGTTGATAATAATAGGGTGTTAAATATTCCAGAACTGCTAAGAAATCAGATTTCAAAGGTTACCATAAAGAAATGGTAAATATTTGAGGTAACAGGTATGTTAACTAGCTTAAACATTCCATTGTATACATGTCATAACAACACTTTGTGTCCCATAAAAATAATTTATCAATTTACAATTTTTTGTTTTTATACCAGTACTGGAATCTGAACTCCAGTCCTCTTAACTATCAGTTGGCCCTTTTGCACAGTTGCTGCTCTACTACTTGTGCTGGTTAACTGGAGATAAAAGTCTCACAAATTTGTCTGCTGGAACTGGCTTTGAATAAGAGACTCAGATCCTATCCTCTTCAGTAGCTAGGATTACAAGCATGAGCACTCAGCTGTGAAGTACTTTTAGTTGGGAATTAGAAACAATATCAATTTAAAGTTATGACAAAATGGTCTGTTTGAAGTTCAAATCTTTATCAGCTCTAGCAAACTGTCCATTTTTTTGGAGATAAATTATTGTATTAAGAATCCTCAGATTCTACAGATTTCAGCCTCCTGACTAGCTAAGATTATAAGTATAAGCCACGGACACCAGGCTCAATTTACAGTTTTTAAAGAGCTCATACTAACTCTAGAACCTGTACTTTTAAGAAATAATGACAATCTCCTTTATTGTTTTAATATATTTCAAGTACAAAATGGTCACTTCCGTTGACAAAGCTACTGAGAACCATCAAATGCTCATCAACGTAAGGAAAAAACATCATATTTTCCTGCTCCACTAACCTTTTACCTTAAGACAGAAATGGTTATTGGAAAATTCTTTATTTCAGTTAACCAGTATAGGTGCAGTCACCACTAATCCTTTTCTAGACATCACAGTATACACTGTTCATGAAATATTCTACAATTTTGTCACCTTCCAATGCCACAAAAAGCTACCTTTTAAAAAAATTTTAACACATACATCACTAAAGTTATCTAAGATGCTCTCAACTTCACACAATTCTTCAAAGATACCAAATCCCAACTCCATGATCACAGACCCAAATTCAATAATCTGGCATATTACTTGCCTAAAGCTAGTAATAGACGTAATAGACTCACATAACCAGGTATTCTCTATATCTCTTCACATACTTTGATTTATTTCACTTTTCTCTTAGATGTATATTCTTTCCTGATATGTTTCATCTTGACAAAAAAAATCAATTTCCCTAAATAATTTGCCTTAATTTTCCTTTCTATGGTAATTTGAATCTGTTCTCAGAAATCCTTAGCATTTTCTCCAACCTTTAATGCAGTCTGGACTTCTGCTATCCTGTCATTTTTCTTACAAGTGCTGGCACCTCTTTCAGACTCATCATCATCTTTAGGTGTCTGCTCCCAACTTTTGCAATCTTTTTAAAGATTTAAAATCAGAGAGGTTTTAGAAAAACAGGTTTTTCAATTTCTACTACATATGCTTCACCTCTCATTTTCTCTAGAGATGTAATTTGTTCTTTTTTTTTTTAATTTCATTTGTTTTGATGCTTGCTTTCATTGCCTAGAGGAAAAGAGAGGGATATATGAGTGTACTCAATTTGTTCTTCCCTATAATAATGTCATTACTGAAGCCTGCTGTTTCATTCCTCTATCAGTACCTTAAAGCAAGCTTCCTAAAATAAATATGGGACCTATATTCAACAGTCTATCCTTTGCCATTATGAATTCTGACATCACTTATTCAAGATTTTCAAAACTTAATCTTAACTTTTCTAAAAGGTGAAAATCATTAGCAAGTCACAAGTGTATTTTTCACTCTGCCTTCAGCAAAATGAAACTATCAAAGGAATGTCCAAAGAACAGATTGTTTTCTGCCATGATATACAATACCTCACTATCTGTACATTCATATTAAAAGACATTAGACATTATAACATCCTCCTTGTAATCAGATAACAGTCAACTGTCAACAAGTGTCAGATGTACTTCCTTGTCCTTCATACTCACCCAAATGTTCTCCATCATTTTTCAATTTCTGTTTTTAGGATTCCTACAAAGATGTGTGCCTGATATGTATCTTACTTATGGCTTACTGAAAATCAGATCTCTTCCTAGATTCTAAGTTTCTTACTTTTAAGTAAGATACACCTTTGTATTATAATTCTTTTTTTGTATTGTAATTCTTAACATGGTCTTTTACCATATTTTGCTGAAAACTTACACTGATATGAAAAAATTGCTGAGGAAATGTAAACAGGTTTAAAATTATTTTAATGTAGAGTTTTTAATTCAAAATATTTTTTTAACGAAAAATAGTAGCAAAGAATCAGAAAGGCATTTCAGATCTAAATGAAGAGACAATTCAACTTAGAGGGTTAAATATTTAATACTCAAACTCCAGAGAAATCATGACCTCAAGATCTTTATAATATTCTTTCAGTTATTATGACAAAATGAACTTCCATTATTATTTATCTATGTACTCATGTTTTATTTACCTTCACCTAACATCATATTTGGACTATAATTTAAATTGGCTCCTAATTGCATGTAGCAATCATCCATTTTTTTAAAAAGGTCTTTTAGTTTTTTACTAATATGTTAGGTGTTAGAAATGGTTACCTTGTTTTACATTTTACACTAAGTGATTTTAAATGCACCATTATTATCTATGAGTCAGTGGAGTAACATGTAAGATCTCTAAGAATAATTCATTTTTTATTAATTACAGAATCGTTTTTAAATATACACAATAGGTTTTTTCAATTGTTGTGGGAAGAGACTCTGAAATGTGGGAATAATTTTCCCCCAATCTAAGCTCAAGCATCTGAACAAGCTTAGAGAAATACTGTTACTGCAAAATAGCACAGGCAAGTAGGCTTTAAAATGTTAAATGGAGAAAGAGAAAAGAATAGAGCAGAACATCCATGTTACGAATGCAAAGAAATGCCACCTTGGAAGTTGCACATTATGGGAAGAGCAGTCAAATGTAGTTCACTGTAAAGACTATAAGCTTTAAACTGGGTCTGGTGGTACTGAGGGAGGAAAAGAAATAAAAGGAATCAACGGACAACAAAAAAAAAGGTGTGGGGGAGGAAGTGCTGGGAAAATGAGAAAGGGTAGAATAAAACCCAGTCCAAATCCCCTTGGCTATATGGGACAGAGGAAGCCAGCAGGACAGGCTGCCACAGATCCTATGGCCCAGCTCTCCAGCCTGTTTGGATTCCAAATGGTGACTACCTCCTACCTTTTTGGTCAGCAGGGTGAGGGGGCACATGTGGGTACTTGGAGGGCTTCTTGATATGGAAGTTCACGTTGTCCAGCTCCACGTTCAGGCTGATGGAAGCGGCTGAGTCACTGTCCACTGTGGACTGGAAACTGCTGACTGAGGTGCGCTTGCTAGGACTGGCAGAATCTTTTAATGTTGGGAAGGGGAAAGAAATATAGGGAGAGGAGGGGAGTAAAAATGGGTTTTATCAGGGTATTGGAGGAAAGGAGAAAAATGGATTTTTAATATACAAGCCCAATGTGCAATACCAAAATGGATACAGTATTTTCATGTATCTCTGTATAGACTTAATGAAATTGAGCAAATTAAATATAAAAATCAAAATTTTAATGAAGAAATGTATTGGAGGTTCTGCAGAGAGAAAGTCTGGTATCATAGTAAAGAGGTGAGAAAGTTGTCTGCTGCGATATGATTAGCTCAGAGTTATTTTTAAGCTGCTGCAAACTACAGACTATGGTAAAATCGGGAAACATCAGGCACCTACCAAGTTGGTTTCTTTAGAAAATACTGTATCTAAGACAAGGATTGTTATCAAGATCGTTTACATTGAGTGAAAGCCATAAATCACAAAATGTAATTCAACAAACAAGACATTATTTTATCATACAAACACAGTAATGATCCACAGTAATGGTCCACAAAACTAAAATGTTAAAAAAAAAAGTCAAACTCACTAGCCAAATTATCATCACCTTCTTCAGCTATCTGTTCTGTGTCGCTGTCATCAAATTTTATGTCTTTAAACCAGGATGGCTCAGAATGTCCTTCCACAGAGTTCACTGAGTCACTGTCTGGAGAAGGCGTCTCAGAAAATTCTGTACTCTGAAAGGATCACAGCAGCATCAAGCAATCGATCTTCAATGTTGAAGGTGTCACATTACAAATAAAGTGTAAGGCAACATTTCTACAAATCTAACAACGTAATATATTTATATTTTAAAATAATAGTAATATGTGAGAGGAGATAGGAGGTCCTCAGTTTAAGGCCAACCCAAGGAGAAACTGAGCAAGACCCTATTCTCAACAAATAAGCTAGGTGAGGTAGTATGTGCCTCTAATTCCAGGTAAAAAGAGAACTGGAGGTAGGAGAATGGTGGTGCAATCAGCCCTTGGTAAAACAACAAAGACTTCTCTCAAAAATTGTTGTCTAAAGAAAGCCAGGCACTGGTAGTTTTAGCTTGTAATCCTAGCTACTCAGGAGGCTATTATCTAAGGCCTGTTGGTCAAAGTCAACGGGACAGAAAGTCCCCAATTAACCACCAAAAAACTAGAAGTGGAGCTGTGGCTCAAGGGGTAGAATATCAGTTTCGAGTGAAAAAGCCAAGTGAGAATATAGGTCTTATGTTCTAGTACACACACACACACACACACACACACACACACACACACACACAAACCTATAGCAAAAAAGGCTGAGAATATGGTAAAAATAGCAGAGTGTAAACAGAGGCCTTAAATTCAAACCTCAGTAATGCCAAAAATTAACAAAAACTAATCTATACAACAGCATTATACTGATAATTCTAAAAAATATTTTTTTCTTTAATGAGAAGACTTAAGTAGCACATTAAAAATAAAATATTTCTTTGGTATACATGTTTTACAGTTTAATCTTTTAATACTGAAGGAAGATAGTAAAGAGTTTATTTTAACCCTCTCCCAATTCTAAAATTTATGCAGAAATATACAGATTTCTTTTTTTATTACACCAAACTGGTCTTCTTGAGTTTCCAATTCTAGTTCACAAAACTATACACAAGCACACACACACACACACATACATGCACACACATGCTCGCACACATGCACGCAGTATTTTTGGCGGGGGGGTCCGGTCGTGGGGGCCTGAACTCTGGGCCTGGGCGCTGTCCCTCAGCTCTTCAGCTCAAGGCTAGCACTCTACCACTTGAGCCACAGCGCCACTTCCGGCTTTTTTCTTTTTGCTTATGTGGTGCTGAGGAATTGAACCCAGGGCCTCAGGCATGTAAGGTGAGCGCTCTACCACTGAGCCACCTTCCCAGCCCCGCAAGCAGTATTTTTTTATACATACTCAAGAGTAAAAGAGCATATCATTTTTTAAGTCCTACATTTAAGTAATTTCCATTTCCCTAAAATTAAAGGTTAATCATTATTTTACCATTGCTAGTCAAAATCTATTCCCATAGTTAACATTAAATTTTTCAATCACCTTATCATGCATACATTTCATTCTCTTAGCTCTAAAAATACTTGATATAGCTGAAAATTATGACAATTAAATGGCAAGTAACTGTAATACCACAAAAACATTACCATATAAAGCATTTAATCCTAATCAGAGGATTTCATTACTAAATACATTTAAAAAGAAAAAGACAATTGGGCACTGATGGCTCACATCTGTAATCCTAGCTACTCAGGAGGCTGAGATCTAAGGATTGAGGTGTGAAGCCAGCCCAGACAGAACTCCAATTAACCAAACATGTGGCTTAAGTGGTATAGTCAACTGTGGGGAATAGGAGAGATGGGGGAGAAAGGGAAAAAGGGCAAAGAAAGGAGTGGTGGAGGGTAGGAGGTAACCTCAGAACTGGGTTGGGAATGTAGATAAAGCTTGGTAACAGAACAGTTGCTTAGCATGTGCAAGGCGCTTGGCTTGATCCCAAGCATTGCAAAAGAAAAAAAAAGTTTTATCTTCTAACAACAGGAAAAAGCATTCTAGAAAAAAGTATCTTTGGATAACTCAACTACTTTTTATTCTTACTGATGAAGAAGTTCAAACAAGTTTGTTACATTAGGAATAAACACTGATAATTACCTGCAGAGGCCTGTACAATGCATATTCATCTCTAAAAAGTTGGTCATGATGACTAACACAATCCAACCAACGACCATCAACCATTGCTTGTCCAATTGCTATAGCCTGTGCCCTGAATAAAAAAAATGAAATCCGAATAGTTTTATAAGTATACAATAAGACACTATCTAATTTCTTTTCAGTCCTAACCATTGGAATGTCAAATGATCCTTGGGTAGGTAAGAAACAAAACAAGAAAGATGTGAAGCAAATTGAAAAACTCTTCAAGGTACCATTGGCAATTTTAATCACAACATGCATTCATTGATTACACAATACATACCCAATTCCTAAGCAGAGGTACAAAATGTTTAAATTAGCATGGCTCCTACACTCAAAGAGCTTACAGTCTTAATGAGAAGACAATACTAAATGTTATAAATATGTATATACAGTATTTATAAATATATGAACAAAATAAGACATTCAACATATGTTACAATTTAGAGAGCACTTAACCATTTCATGCCCACAGCTTATTCACAATACCAAGTATTTCCCTAAACATGAAACTAAGTTGTTCAGGTCTCAAAGTGACTGAATAATTTCACTAAAGGCTCAAAGCTAAAAGGAGATATAGTCAAAATTGGTAAAGCTTAAAAGGTTTTTGTCTGGTTTTATTTTTTTCTTTAGCTACTTGTTATTTCCCAAGAGAAGTCATTCATCTACAAGTAGAGAAAATAGAGGATATGTTGACTTAAAAAGGAAGCAAACCCTGTTGCTACTCCTTTTCTGTTACAAATTATTTGTGAGACTACCAGGGCTTCAAGCATGCCTTATCACCAATTCTCAACATAGTCGGTCATGTCTAGATTAGAGAAGAGAAGCAGGCTTCTTCTATCTACATTCTATCTTGCTTTACTACTGGGTTCTGTGTACTTCTTTGAATATAGTAAATTGTGACCCCAATTTGGCTTCTTGAAACTATTCTCTTAACAATTAAAACCAAGTATGAGGCGATTAATTAGTTAGTTCCCCAAATCATCAAACAAATAAAACTCTGACTCACAAAGATGTTACCCTTACGTTTTCAAACATGTATGTTCATTACAAACAAATTACGAAATATTTTCAAGACCTCTTTCTTGAGATCACAATACCTTGTGGCTATATGTCCATTTCGGATTAGCCAGTTGACTAACTCCTTCCCTACTATGCAGTTAGGATGTGTACGCAGCCAGTAGCGGTGATCCTGAAACTCCATTCCACTACTGTGATGACAGATTTTTTTCCACAGATCCTTTAACTGAACACTGTCCTGTAATCACATTATGAGCAAATAGTTACCCCTCAGAAAGTTGTTATACACATCTCCAGATACTTTTTTGTGATTCTGAGATGCATAAGAGGAATTTGAAAGGCATTTCTTTATGGTAGCTAAGTTAGATGATTGAATACAAAGGACATATACACAGAATAGCTTGAACTCAATTTGTGTAATTCCAAACACCATTTTCTTCTATGGAAAACCAATTACCACAAGTACTTTCTTTTCCAGTCAATGACACATATTATCAGTCTCTAAATTAAATGCAAAATTGTCTAGTTCGGAGATGTAGGAGGCAACTGTCAATCTTACTAAGATAAACAATGCTAGGAACCTTCACTTCATCAATCTCTATTCTTATCTACACCCAACTATACCCAATATGTCCATTTAAAAAATAAAATAAAAACCTCCCATGAATTATTTTCATTTCAAAAAAAATTTCAGTGTTGTTAGGCAACTATAGGCTCAAATCAAAACTTGTAAGACTTAATTCTTTGCCTTCTACTAGGTAGTCTCAAAAACTTTCCATTCTCATTGCCAATAGACTTAACTCTTCCAACTAATAAAATCTATGTCACTCCATGAAAAATGCTATGTATGCTTGAAATGCCATGTATCTTTTCTTACACTTAAAAAAAGATTCACTTTTCTGTTCCATCCCCTGTTCCATTCCTGTCTCCCTCAGTATTAATGATTAATCAGTATGGCATATAGTTATTTTATTTGACACTCATTTCTGCTGTTATTACTTCTTCTACAATTAAGGACCTTCTCAATGACCTGGTTTAAGTCTTTGAATTATAAGTGTCAAATCAGAAGCAATGTTTTCCAATTCTGTGAGTCACTCTTAGGATAGGACACACTAATTTACACAAATAACACTGAAGAACTTAACTGATTTTCTCACATAAACAAGGAATTAAATGTCTGAGTGTTCCATGTGTGTAAGAAATGTATTTCAAAGCTTAAACAAGCTGAGACCCAACTAAAAGTTAAGCTCTCTTATTATACAAACAACTAATGAGCTTGCCAAATGAAAGCATAAAGAAAATATTAATGCAATGAGTGCAAATAGAACACTTGATCAACTTCTCGTACTCCTAGTTAAAAATAAGCTACTTATTTCTGTTTCCTTCCTTCCTTTCTTTCTTCTTTTCCTCTCCTTTTTCTCTCCCCTCTCCTCTTCCCACTTCTCCCATTCCCCTCCTCTTTTCCCTTTCTTCTTTTCCCTTCTCCCTTTCTCTTTCCCTAGATTCCTCCCCCTCTTCTCTTCCTTCCAGTCTTACAATGTAGCCCAAAGATAATCTTAAAATTGCAATCTCCTGCCTTACTTAAAAGTGCTGAGATGTGCATGTGCCTTCATGCCCAACTATTTCATTTATGTTTCCTTAACAAAGAGAGAGAGAAAGAGACAGACAGACAGGGAATGGGGAAGGGAAGGGAAGAAAAGGGAAGGGAAGAGAAGGGAAGGGAAGAGTCAAAGGGAGGGAAAAAATAAAGGAGAGAAACCAATGAAGTAGTAACTTTATTTTCAAAATTAATATAGGTCATAAATACTAGATTGGTACCAGAAGAATTTTGCGTTCATCCTCTGTGGTCTCTGTCCGAACGTATGTTCGGTTAGCCTGGGGACTAACAGATGTCTCATATGAGGGAACCATAGGAGAACCAGATCGATCCAGTGACAGGTTAGTAATGCTGGCTGATCTGGAAATAAAAACAAAAAGTAAAAATCACAGTTATAAATTCTTTACTAGTAAATAGTTACAGTGGAAATTCGTATTTAAGTAAATACTCCTTGCTAATGTTACAATAGTTATCTGTATTACTGCTTTGGAAAGCAAGGAAGAAAACAGCTAGATCTCTCTGCACTACATATGCAACTTCTAGTGAGTCTATATTTGTAAACAAGTTTTTTAAAAAGTTGCTACAGAAAGATTACAAGAAAACAACCATATAATTCATATACTGGTAATATTTCAAAAGAAATATATATAAACTCTTGCTACAAATATTGGATTTTTTTTAATTGACAAAGCTAAAAGGCTAGAGGAGTGGCTAAAATGATAGAATGCCAACCAGGAAAACAAGTCAAAGGCCTTGAGTTAAAGCCCTGGTAGAAGTAAAGATGAGAAGGAGAGGGAAAAAGATGGGGGGAGGAAGGGAGGAGAGGAGAGGAGAGGAGAGGAGAGGGGAGGAGAGAATAGGGGAGGAGAGGAGAGTTGGTCACTGGTGACTCATGCCCGTAATCCTAGCTACTCAGGAGGCTGAGATCTGAGGATCACGGTTCAAAGCCAGCCAGGGCAAGAAGTCCATGAGACTCTTATCTCCAATAAACCACCAGAAAACCGGAAGTGGTGCTATGGCTCAAGTGGTAGAGAGCTCACCTTGAGCTGAAGAGCTCAGGGGCAGCGCCTGGGCCCAGAGTTTAAGCCCCACAACCCAGGGTGAGGGCAGGGTGGGGAATGGAAAGGAAAAGAGGACAGAGAGGAAAGGAGGGGAGGGGAGGGGAGAGGTGTGGAGGGGAGGGAAAGTGAGGGGGGAGGGGAGGGGAAGGGAAGGGAGGGGAGGAGAGGAGAATGACAAAAAAATACAAACTACAACTTACAGGCCAATTGCAGCCAATTTCCTGTTTATGTACAGTCTAAGAACTAAGATTCATTTCTATAGATCTTGCAATCAATTTAATAACGGACAACACTAATTTGTTGGGGGGAGGGGTGGGGGGGTGCTCTCCCTTAGCTCTTTTCATTCAAAGATTGTGCTACCTGAGCCACAGCTCCACTCCTGGCTTTTTGCTGGTTAATTAGAGGTAAAAGTTACAGACTTTTCTGCCCAGGCTAGCTTCAAATTCTGATAGCCTCCTGTGTAGCCAGGATTACAGGCATGAGCCACCTGTGCCCAGCCTGAGAACACTAATTCTGAACTCCAACTAAATGAAGCCCAAGAATTCATTTTTTCCCATTAGTAGATATATTTAAAATACTGTCCTCAAATATTATATTTTGGCCTAATTAGTAAAATTAAAATAATGGAAATTAGTTTCCTCTCATGTACTTAAATGTCTTCAATTTTGCCTTAGCAAATTTACTGGACAAATGACTTAAACATAATCAACAGCATCAATGAAGCTTTTACTTTGGAAAAAATTAACTAGAAAATGAGTTAACTACCTAAAAATAAAAAGATAACTTGCCAAACACCTATATGTACTTAATTCTAGCTACTCAGGGGCAGAGATTAGGAGGATCTTGATTTCAGGCTAGCCTGAGAAAAAAGTTAGTGAGATCTCCATCTCAACAGGAAATGGATGTGGTTTGTATTCATCTATCACTCTAACTGCTTTGGAAGCATAAATCAAATGATCCTGTTCCAGGCTGGTCCAGGTAAGAAAAAAGAAAAAAAAAACTGATACTCTATCTCAAAAAGAAATCAGGAAAAAGGGCTGGAGACATGGACTCCAAGTGGTAGAGAACTGCCTACTAACACAAGGTCCTGAGTTCAAACCCTAGAAAAAGAAGGAGGAAGGGAGGGAGGGAGGGAGGGAGGGAGGGAAGGAAGGAAGGAAGGAAGGAAGTCAGACAAGCAGACAGGCAATCTTAATTTCTTTGTAAGTAATTAAAAGCAGCAGCATCTACTATGTCCTGGTATCACTTAATACATTCATTGGGGTATTAGACACTACATAACACATCCATCAGGGTAAAAGAAATATATTCCCTCATTTAAGCCTTATAGAATTCTATGAAGAAATAATTACCAGCTCTACTTTATAAAGAAATCAAGAATCAGAGAATAATTAATCAGATTTTAATTTGTATAGAGTATCTCAGTTTATAAATATAAGGACTACAACTCAAAATTGTCTGGATTAATAAAAATCCTCTCTCAAACCTGGCACCAGTGGCTCACTCCTCTAATCCCAGCTATTCAAGAGGCTGAAATTTGAGGATAAAGGCTCAAAGCCAGCCCGGGCAGAAAAGTCTGTGAGACTTTTAGCTCCAATAAACTACTCAGAAAAAGCTGGAAGTGGCACTGCTGTTCAAATGGTAGAGCCCTAGCCTTGAGCACAAAGAGGTTCAAGAACAGCACCGAGGCCCTGAGTTCAAGCCCCAGGACCACCCACCCCCACAAAAAAAATTTCTCTAGTATTTATAAAAACATTTTAAAGTAAGAAATAATTCAAAATTTAGCACATTAATTATTAGCAGTTAATGGGAGACCACTGATATCAAGGCAATTTTTTAAAGCAATCAGCTATGTTTTAGCATTTATTCCTTTAGTCAAAGACTACTATGTTTTATTCAATTAATTTAAATCTCTTTTCTGATGGCTGCACTAATTCATACATTCTACTTATCTAACAATCATCCCTACAAATATTCTAGCATAGTGGCAATAAAAACAAAGTCATTAATTTTGCTGTCAAAGCACTAATAAATATGTTGTGGCAAGGATGATAATTAAAATTATGTTTAAATTAGCACTCATCAAGCAAATTATATCTGTCTCAAAACTTACATCCATCTTAGCATTAATTTGAAACACCTGGAGATACATTATAAATTGGAGATAATTCTACAATTGTGCACATGCCAACAGGAACGCCATCACTGGTCTTAGATTTCAAAAATCTTTAACTCCATTTCCCCTTGCTGTACTTTTCCTCCTTCCTTTGATACCAAAACCCATCTCCAATTATTCTACAACACACTGAAATTGTCTATTATTGTGATCAATGTTACTGTATTATTGTAGTACTGAGGTTTGAATTCAAGGCCTTATGCTCGGTAGGCAAGCAAGCAACTACAACTTGAGTCACAACTTCAGCACTCCATGCTTTAGAATGCTTTTCAGGTCATATCTTATGTTTTTACTTTATCCAAACTCAGACAAAAATCCTCCTAACTGAGCCTCACATATAGCTGGGATTATAGCTACATACCTCCATGCCCAACTTGTTTGTTGAGACTGTCTCCTTGTTGGCCCAGGCTGATCTCACACTATGTAATCCTCCAAGTCTCTATTCCCAAGTAGCTGAGTTTACAGCAGTGAGTCACTGTCCCCAGCTACCAATATTATTTTAAAGCCAATACTTAGTTTTTCCTCATCTTATTTAAAACATGAGCCATATACCTCCTCTCTCCTTTAAACCCTTCTTTACTTCACTGCTAATAAAAATCCTCTTCCTAGTTTTCCTCTCATCTCACTGGCCTCTACATTTCAGTCCTCTTCTAATTCTTCTTCATTTCCCAAACTCAATCTCAATCCCATTTACTCTTAACACTCACTGTTTTGATGATGTCCATGCAGATTCATTACCGCAATTAAATGCCATTCACATGATGACAACATCGAAGTTTGTATCTTAAGCCTGCACATTTCCTCTAAATTCTTGACATCTAATACATGTCTAATACATGTCAACATGTCAATAAAGCCAATTCCATTCTTTCAACTGCTCAGGCTCGAAACTGAGTCACTTTTGATGTCTCTATTGTATAACTGATTATCTGTACAAAATCTATCTAGCGTCTGACCATTTTTCATTTGATCCCCTCCACTACCACCATTTCTCCTATTCTAATCTAAATCAGTTTTCTTGCCTTGATTTACTATGCTACTCACAGAGCATCCAAAATGTGCCTTTTAAAACAATTCAGGTTGGATGCTGCCGGCTCATGTTATAGCTACTGGGAAAGAAGAAGTAAGGAGTATCAGCTCAGGTAAAAAGTTCTAGAGATCCTATCTCAATCAATAGCTAGATGTGATGGTGCTACAGCATCACAGCTACATCATACTTATCATCATAGCTACAGCAGGAAAGATAAAAACAGAATTATCACAGTACAGGACTACGTAAACAAAAAGTGAGAAGTCTCTCTCAAAAATAACCAGAGTAGGACTGGAAGTGTGTGGGGGTCAACTGGTAGGACATCAGAATGCCTCACATTGACAGCAAGTTTAGTAAAGTCTTGTGAAATTAAGTCTACTTTGCCCACATGATCCAGCTTCCATGCTCCTTGGTATTTGTCCAAACACAGAAACCTATACACAGATGTTAACAACAGTCGTATAATTGCTGAAACTTAGAAGCAAACAAGATGCCCTTCAACAGATGAATAAACCATGTTGCATCTAAAAAATGGAATACTATTCAGAATAGCACTTAAAAGTAAGTTACCAAGGCGTTCAAGAAACAAATGCGTATCATTGAGAAAAGCCAAAGTGAACCTAAAACTGCAAACTATTAACTAAAAACACAAACAAAATAATGGTATCCACTACTGATTTTCAAATGGTTGACAAAAATTGTATATTATATAAAAAGTAATAAAATAGGCAAAATGTAATTCAGTAAAATCTCAATGAAGAATACATTAAATTTATTTTCCTATTATTATAACTATTTTGCAAGTTGGACATTTTTCAAAACAAAAATTACAAGATACAAAACTTTTTAAATGAGAGAATAAAAATGAAAAGAGCTCAGTGAAAAGGAAATGATGGCTTACTCTAGCTTCTACCTAAGAAATTGTATGACAAACAATCTCATCTTTATTATGTTTGTTCTCACTATTAAGAAAACAAACAAAATCAGACACAAGATACATGATTTTTATTTGACAATTTACCTGTTTCGAGCAGGAGATTTTCCCGCATCCTCCTGAACAGAAACAAGTCTTGTGGAGAGAGCAGTATTTGAGGTGTCTGGATGAATCAAACTAAAAAGAAAATAGGAAAATACTGAGATAATTTGGGACAACAGAGGGCAAATCTAATTTCAGTGAGGTTGTTTAGCATTATTTTTTTCTGTGCCAGTAAAACTTAAAACTTTGGGTCTCACACGCTTAGTAAGGCTCTCTCAATCACATCTGGCATTCCACCAGGCTTTGCCTCCAGTCCAACTTTTCTTGCTAGCTAACTGAAGACTTGCTTTGACCCCTGATCTTCAAATCTTCAGATCTCAGCCTCTTTAACAAGTAGATTTTACAGGCTTTATAAGAGTGAACTACCAGCACCCAGCTGTTTTAACATTTAAAAGCCATAAATGACTTCCCTGTCGTAGTGAGAATCTGGGCATTTTTTTTTTCTTCCTTTAATTAAGGTCGAAACTGGGCATGGTTTTTCTCTAAGTATATCATATGCCAAAAAAAATGGTAAAGGATTAAAGTGTATGAAATGTGGATTAAGTAAAAAAATTAGTCTAATAGGTAATTTATAAAAATCCTTCCAATATCACACATACAAGATAGAATTGTTTCAAGGGAGACCTATGAGTTTCAAAATATTAATATCAATTACCACAACACATTTGAACACCAGCACCACAACACTACGTCCAAGTGTAGGCTGCCCTTCTATGTGATCTGGGGTTCATTAGTTATCTTTCTGAGCCTAAGCACTCCAATAAAAATTAAAAGTGCCTACTAGAGATGTGCTAACAAAAGAAGACTAAAAAAGAATACTAAACAATTAGTGCAGAGCCTTGAACTATTATTCTACTTCTGATCTCTCTCTTAGATCTCTTAGGTATCTTACATCTCTCAAGTTCTCATACTTGATTTATTTTATTAAATCACACTTGCCAATGCTGGGTTCGCAAATGGACTATTTGCAACTATGAACGGCTTAACTAAAACAAGCAAAATCTGAAGAATTCATATTTTGTATTGTTTAATAAAACACAGAACCAATTCTTTAAGTATCTATCTATCTATCTAGTACAAGAATCATAATAAGCCTAAACCAGGGGCTCACATCTGTAACCCTAGCTACTCAGGAGGCAGAGATCTGAGTACAACAGTTCAAAGCCAGCCCAGGCAAGAAAGTCTGTGAGAGTCTTTCCTCCAATTAATTACAAGTCCAGAAGTAGAGCTGTGGCTAAAGCAGGAAAATATTAGCCTTAAGCAAAAAAGCTCAGGAAGCCAGGCACTGGTGGCTCTCACCTATAATCCTCGCTACTCAGGAGGCTGAGATCTGAGTATAACAGTTCAAAGCTAGCCCAGGCAGGAAACTCCAGAAGACTCTTATCTACAACAAACCACTCAGAGTAAGTCAGAAAATGGTGTTAAGGCTCAAGTGGTAGAGCACTAGCCTTGAGTACAGAGCCCAAGCCTGAGTTTAAGCCCTAAGACCCACCAAAAACAAACAAACAAACTCAGGAACAATGGACAGTTCTCAGGCCCGCAAGCCCCAGGACCACCACAAAAGAAAAAAAGAATCATGATATAAACATCAACAGATCTATCAAGCAACTTTAAAAAGTACCTGACCATGGGCTGGGGAGGTGGCTCAGTGGTAGAGCGCTTGCCTTGCATGCCTGAGGCCCTGGGCTTGATTCCTCAGCACCACATAAGCAAAAAAAAAAAAGTACCTGACCAATGAATTTCTTTTTCTTTTTGTCATTTGTGGCCTGGGCACAGTCCTTAAGCAATTTTGTTTAAGGCTAGGGCTCTACTACATTTAGCCCCAACTCCACTTCCAGTTTTTGAGTGGCTAGTTGGAGATAAGAGTCTCAAGGACTTTCCTGCCCAGCTGGCTTTGACCTGCGATCCTCAGATCTCAGCCTCCAGAGTAATCAGGATTGCATGCATGAGCCACTGGCTCCTGGCTTGATCAGTGATTTTTTTTTTTTGTAGTAATTGTGTTTTGTCTAGTCCTACTTCTCTCTCTATTCTCAATAAAACCACTATTGCAAATTTTATATTCATCATTATCTTTCTCTGCAAAAGAAGATATGCATTTTATATATTTCTGAACTTTATGTAAAAGGATTCTTAACTGACATTTGACTAGGTGACTTTCTTTTCTATTCTATGGTATGTTGAGATTTATACTTGTTGAATATAGTTGTAATTATTTTTTACTTCTGTTTGGTTATATAATACACTAATTCCTCACTTCTTGAAGAGATAGCTGAGAAAATATCTCATTAGAAAAGTCTAAGCTCTTTGACATGGCCAGATTTGGTATTATGCTTAAGAAAATTACTTAGCTAAATTAAGTAAAACAACCAGAAATTGAAGAACCAAGGAAAATAAACAATTTTAAGTAACTTCCATGAAAAAGTTAGTAGCACCTTCCATTACCATCCACTACTGAAAAGTATTTACATATATAGAAAGACATGAAATGTCCCTTTGGAAGGAAAATAATGCAATTTGATTTGGAAATATGAATACACATATTACAAGCACTAGCCTTCTCAAAGAAGACTACTTTAGAAATTACTAATCTCAATGACTTCCATTATCTAATCAAGTTTTTGTTGTTGTTGTTGTTTGTTTTGGAAGGTCACAGGGCCTGAACTCTGGGCCTGGGCACTGTCCCTCAGCTCTTCAGCTCAAGGCTAGTGCTCTACCACTCGAGCCATAGCGCCATTTCTGGCTTTTGCTGCTTATGTGGTGCTGAGGAATCGAACCCAGGGCCTCATGCATGCAAGGCAAGCACTCTACCACTGAGCCACCTTCCCAGCCCCTAATCAAGTTTTATCAATACCAGACACTCCCAAAAGCACTTGTTTTGATGTCAGCAACAGAACAATGATAAGAAAGCTAAAGTTTCCTCTCAAGAATGTAACATTCTAATTAATTAGTATCATTACTATCCATAAATATTTGTAAAGAAAAGGAGTAAATGTGAATTTTCAGGAACCAATCCAAAAAAAATTGTTAGCCCCAAACACTCAAAAGTCACTATTAGTTCTTTTCCAATTTAAGTAAAATTATATCCAAGTGAGAGTACCTTTGCCAGGCTAAATCATCCTCTAAGAATATGTTCCGGCTGGCTTTTCTACTGCCAACAGGTGTTCGGGGCTCATTTGGATCAAGTACAGAGACAGAACAAGCAGAATCAGAAAGAGCATTCAGGTCTTCCCCAATGGAGTTACTATCTGTAGAATGTGCATAACTTAAAGCTATTTTTCTACAATATGTACAAGCTCGAAGGTCCCCTAGGAAAAAAAAGAAAAAAAATAATTAAAAGGTAGTAGTAATATATTACTTAACAAAATATTTAAATCTTTGAGTTAATAAGAAACTAATAACAGGGAAATATTTTCAAACAAAAACTAACAAACAAGGCATTTTAAAGAAGTGAGTTTGTAATAGTTTGACTACTATAGTTTTACTATGGCAAATTCATCAAAGTATCCAAATTACCTGAGAATTTCAGACTTGCCAGCCAGATCCTTAATCCTAGCTACTCAAAAGGCTATTTGAGGATCACAGTTCAATGGCAGCCTTGGCAGAAAAGTCTCCATTGGACTCTTATCTCCAATTAACCACTCAAAAACTGGAAGTGGTAGAGCACTAGCCCTGAATGAAAGGGCTCAAGAACAGTGCCAAGGCCCTGAGTTCAAGCTTCACGACTAGCAAAAAGAAAAAAAAATACCTGTAAAATCTTCTCTCGATCTCTCTCTCCATACACACTTACATATACACTCACACACTGTGGACCCTATTAGTTGTTTCTTTGAAGAAGCCTGACTAGTAGAGTTCTTGGTACTAAGAAAAGTTTTAAAGTAATATAACCTTAAGGTTTCTGCATTGGCTCACAGGTTTCTGGAATTGGTTTTCTCATTTGATTAGATGTAAAAGCACTAATGGTAAATTCCAGTAGTGGGGATAATATTACTAAGCTATGGTGTTGTGAAGTAATAAACCCTATGTACTCCAAATCAAATACTTAGAAGAAATGAGGTTCAGGGCAAACATATACTTAATATCTTACAATCTTTTTGTTTATCAATTATATAATTAGCTTGCTGCTCCTAACTGCAGTACACAAAGGAAAGAAAATGACAATCTCAGAGACTCAAATTCCAAGGTCAACAACTGTAAAACTTAGCTGGAGATGTGGCACAGTTGCTAAAACATTTGTACCAAACAAAAAGCCCAGCATCTCAAGAAAACAAATAAATTATACAAAAACCTTATACCATACAGTCTCAGTGAAATGTTGAAAAGCAAACCAATAATTTCAAACTGAAACACAAACACAAAGAGAGGAAAATGCAAAATAGAAACATAGAGTTATAGTAGCGGATCTGTCTACAAGCCATAGAACAATGAGCCTTGCCAGCAACCACCCAAAGCCAGGACAGAAGTGTGGGATGAATTTTCCAGCACAGTCTTCATAAGGAATCAACTCTGCCAACTCCTTTCAGATATTTGGCCTCCAGAAATATGACACAACAAACTGCTGTTGTTTTAAGCCAAATGACTTTCCCTTCCCTGCCTTTATTGTTAAGTTCTAGCAGATCCTTTAAAAAAAAAAAAAAGTACAAAGTAAGACCAAGAGGATATGGGTTGTACTCCTGGAGGATAAAATTCGATCAAGCCAAATTTACTCATATGGGCCCTATAAGCAAATTCTAGATTAAATATTGTAGCTCAAGCAGTAAAACAGAACTCTTAAAATATTAGTAGCTTTTTTTCTACTTTTTTCCACAATAAATCATACTTGGAGCCAGGCTCATGCCTAAAATCCTAGCAACTCAGGAGGCTGACATCTGAAGACTGAGATTCAAAGCCAGTGGCAGAAAACTCTATGAAACTCTTATCTCTGATTAATTACCAAAAAGCCAGAAGTAGAGCTTTGGCTCAAGTAGTAAAACACTATCCTTGAGCAGGAAAGTTCAGGGACAGTGCCCAGGCCCTGAGTTCAAGCCCCAGGATAAGCACCAAAAAAAAAAAAATTATTAAGCAGGGTAATACCATCATATGATTAAATTAGCATTTTAAAAGAACAATGTAGAGTATGAAAAGGCAATACGACATATGGGGAAAACTAAAGGTAAAAAGTGGGCTGGGAAGCTGGCTCAGTGGTAGAGTGCTTGCCTAGCATGCATGAGGCCCTGGGTTCGATTCCTCAGCACCATAAGCAGAAAGCACCAGAAGTGATGCTGTGGCTCAAGTGGTAAGAGTGCTAGCCTTGAGCTGAAGAGCTGAGGGACAGTGACCGGACCCAGAGTTCAGGCCCCATGACTGACCAAAAACAAAAACAAAAAACCTAAAGTCATAATCTGGGTCAAAGATAATGGGATTCTAAAGGAATTCTAAACTTTTTAACAATTTAGATTAAAAAAGAAAGAAAAAAGTAAGGGCAAAAGATCTGTACAATAATAAAAACAACATGAAAGGGATATTAATAGTGTTCTGCGGGGAGGGAGTTGGAGATATGTATCAGTGGTACAGTATTTGCCTAGCATGCATAACCTAGGTTTTAAGTACAGAATCAGAAAAAAATAAAATTTAAAAATTATTTTTAAAAATTTTTTATAAACTATGGTGATACATGCCTCTATTCCCAGCACGCAGGAGGGTTGTGGTAGGAGCTTTGCCAAGTTTGAGGCCAGCATGGGCTACAAAGAGTTTCATATACTAGGCTAAATAGCAAGATCCTGCCTTTCAAGAAAAAGTTCACTTGGGTAATTTCTACCCACTTTGCGTTCTTAAATCATTATATGAAACCACACAACACTGCTTACCTTTTTCTGTCTTAATAATAATTTAAATATTGTGTATTAAGAATATTTTACCTTCCTTATGAATGAATGAGTAAAAGATATTTGTAAACAAACTCTTAATAGTAATAAAAATTAATGTTCTATCTTGTCTAAAAAAATCTACCTTGTCTAATAATGTCTAATGCTCCTATAATTTTTGATAGTATCTTATGACACTAGTATACTTTTTTTGATACTAGCATACTTTTATACTTTTACTCTTAATTATTTGTGGACACTGCCACATACTTTATTAACTACAAAGTTCCCCTTCCCTATATTTTCTTTATTTTCTTTTTTTGGTCACAGGGCTTGAACTTAGGCCCTGGGTGCTGTTCCTGAGCTCTTTTGCTCAAGGCTACCGCTTTACCACTTTTGAGTCACAGCGCCACTTCTGGTTTTCTGGTGGCTAATTGCAAATAAGAGTCTCACAAACTTTCCTGTCTGGGCTGGCCTGGAAGCACGATCTTCAGATCTCAGTCTCCTGAGTGGTTAGGATTACAGGCGTGAGCCACGAGTGCATGCAGCTTCCCTTCTTATGTATAAAACTCAAAATAAAAACTGGATTAACACTGGTCCTACATTACACTGATTTTATGATCACAATCCATAAAAACTGTAATACTGTCAGTAAAATACATTACCTGTATAGCCCATAAATTTCCCAGGGATTTCTTGGTTACAGCAACGACTGCAGAAAATCTGCCCACAGAGACGGCAGTGGTGTCTGCGTCTAAAGGTTGTAAATTTTTCACTGCAGTCATAGCACTCTTTACATTGGCTATCTGGCATCCAGTATTGCTTCAGGTCACTATCCTATAACAACAAAATATGTGAAGAAATTTTCGAAACAGTGACTATATATGGCAAAGTTACAATGGCAAATGAAATCTTAGGTTTCTTTTACAGAAAATAATGAGATAATTCTAAGGAACAAATGAAACACAAAAGGCAAAAATGACAACCTTGAAGGAAAAAAAAATTGAAGGACATATTCCCAGCCAATGGGCAATAAACTTTCCTTCAAGAGTCATTAAGCCATTTTCAGTGAGTAGCCCCCAAAGAGCTTAATAAGGAATCTCCCAAAGCCTCTAGACAAACAGTGCCTACCTGGCTTTTCCCCTCCATGATTTCCTTGAGACGTTTTAATACTGTGCTGAGGCTTCGAAGCTGAACAGCTGTACGAGGATCATGACCTCCAAAGGTAGGTTCCGGTTTCCTTCTTGTATCTAGCCGAAGTTTTAAAAACCAATCTTATTAACAGTTCTAGTGTCTTTATAAAACATTGTACATACGTGATAGTGTCCTTATTGCTAGCCTTACTGATGTTCTCCCAGACAGTGAAAGGGATTGAGAATTAAATGCTAAGAGGTTATTGAAAGTACTTCTTATTATCATTTAAAACACTGTTTCACAAGCAAGTAAGGGATACTTAAGACAAGAACTGTCTGAGATGATTGATGGTTTTGAGGCCTAGGGTGGAAGCATCACTTAGAGGGCCAAATTCATTAATGATTTATTATACCCTTTGATCTCAACCAAGTTAACCAGAGGAGTGCTAAAACTATTCCTACAGCTCTTTTCACCTCCTCTACCCTGCTGCTCCAAACTGCAAGGGGTCTGTTATGCCTGAAATAGCAATAAAAAACTAAAACTATCAATATTTTTTAAAAGCTCAAATTCCAGTTTTGTGCCTTATGTGGGATATGCCAACCAAACTGCCATCTATTATTTCCTTAAAAGTAAGGAAATAATAATTTTTATCTAAAGAGACCAAAATTACACTTCAAATTTCTATCTATTCCCGGTTCCACATAACCTGTGGTACAGGTAAGTAGCCCCTACTTATCTGCAGTTTTGCTTTCCAAACTTTCAACACCCTCATAACTGCAGAACAAAAATAATAGCATTTGTTTTGATTCTTCCAAGAGAAAGACTATATTCAGATAACTTTTGTTATATTGTTGTAGTTATTTATTCTTGCTATTGGTTATTGATAATCTCTTACTGTGCCTAATGCACGAATTAAACTTTATCAAAGGTATTATAAACTAGAGCTTGATACTATCTGTGACTTTTACTGGAGAGTCTCAGAGGTATCCCTGCACATATTACTATAAAATAGAAAATATCCCATCCTGAATCTGCCTCAACTCACCATTTCCAAGACTTGTATTAAGTGGCTTTGTTTTGGAAGAGTGGGAAAGAAAGAATTATAAAAAAAAAAATGAAAGGTTAATACCTATTCCCAAATTTATCAAGAATCATATTAACTCAAATAATTACTACCTCTAAACTGTACCTATTTTAGAAAACTTGGAAAACTTTTACCTTTCTATAGCTGTATCTTAATTTCAGCATATAGAGTAGATATTTTGTTAGTCATATGTAAATATTAGAATGATTCGATGTTTCTTCAGTCTCAAATAATAAAGCAACTCTCTATGACTTACAAAAAATAAACAGATATAGCCAAGATTCAAAACAGCAGTACTCCCTTTTACAGGTGATAATGAATTGTGAAGCCCCTTACATTTAATACTGAGGAACAGAGAAAAGCCTTAAAAGAATCATCCACTGGAAAAGGATGAACAAGATCCTTCCTTGCTATCAAGAATAAAATCCATCCAAGAATGAAAATACAGTAGATATGAGACAAATCTGGTCTAGTTTCTTCCCGGAGACAAATAACCTTGGTTAGCTACTTCTCCTTCAAAATGGGTAAGAAAGCTAAATGGATACTAGAAAACCTTCCTAAGGTTAGAAAGCTCCTAATCAGTCTTTAGTGAGAAAAGAAACAAGCTTATGAGGCTCAAATGCTTCCAAAGCAGAATCAAGTGGACAGGATAGATAGAAAGGAATGGGAGAACGGCAGGCGGAGACTCCAAGCTCATCCAGGAAATACTTAAAATTCAACTAGAGCAAAGCACCGAAGACAGAGTTTGGCAAGATGCCACCTTACAACCATGAAAAGATTAGATTCTAGTCTAACTCCTCCATGTTAACATTTGAAGAAATTCTATGCGAAAGAAAGAGATGGTACTCTCTTTGGCCCCCTCTTCTTCCCTCTGTAGAACAAAGGAAAGCATGATAGTATTTGAAAAACTAATTCAAAACTGCAAAGTCAAAGCAGTAGGTGAAATTCTGTTAAAAAAAAAACAAAAACAAAAAAATAATTCTTAATTTAGCTCAAAGAGCTTCGTAAACAAAACTTAGTATTGGCCATGAATCAGGTTTAAGAGCTGAACAGAGTCTGCTGAGGTTAAAGGTTACAGTGGGGATAAACTGGACTAAAAGGAGAGTTCACTCTCTTCTGATTCTCTCTCTCTCTCTCTCTTTCACTCTCTTGCTCTTGCTCTATCACCCTCACTCTCCTTCCCTTCCTATTTTCCTCCTCCTCCTCTTCTTCCTGTCTCCTTCTGTCTCTCTCACACACTCCACATCCATCTACCCATCTCGCTGCTCTTTTATCCAACTGGCACATGCACTGAGGCTGCCCCAGTCCGTTAGCAGAAATTCCTCTTTTGCTTGGTTTCTCCTCTTCTTCCAGTACACCAAGTCTCAACAAGCAATAAAATACCCTTCTGCCAACCAATCACCGTTTTTTATACCTGTATTTCCCTGAAGGCCCTCAGAGGAAAGATTGGCCAGACCAGACAGGATCTGGAGTTCAGAAACACCTGATTCTCCTTTCCCCTGATTTTCCTTTCCCTTCTGTTACTCTTTCACTGTCTTTCTATCATCTTGAGCTGAGTAAACCACTCTACACAGAGTATAACAATCTAACAGAAATAAACCTTCATCTAGCCTCTGAACTCAGACATTGATCCCCAGCCCACACTCATGAGAAGAGCATGAAAATGAATGAGATGATTATTAGTAGGCCAAGATGGAGAGCACAAGCAGACAAAGGGAGCTCAGCTTATTCAGCCACACTGACAGTTTGCACCCCAACAAGGACAGAGGCCAAGAGCAAATGCAGCCCATTAATGGAGTTGACAAGAGTTCTGCAGCCAGAGGCATGCACACCACATTTCACTAGCATCCCAAGAACAGATGCAGAATTCATTCACAAAGTTGAAACTAACCTGAATTCTCCTGGGGATGCTGCAAACTGTTTTCTGCTGAAACCCAAGCAAGTAATTAATGAACAAACAATCAAGAGATCTGTGTCTTGCCTAGCAAAGTTTAATGACATGTTTTAGAAAATTTTTAAGTGTCAATTCTTCCACTACCTAGGTAAAAATTTTATTTATTCTGAAGAGTACTTGACTATTTCAATAAACAGAAAGTTAAATGCAAAAAACAATGTGAGAAACTACGTAAATACCTAAGTGAAATAAAACACTATGTTTTACCTAATACTGATGAGCGACGCTGAAGTTCCTCATTCAGCTGCTTTTTGTAAGGTACAGGTGACCTCACAGATTGTGCCCTGGAAGGGAGTTGAGGGCTGGACCAACTACCACTTGGAGACTGCTGCTCTCCTTGGCCCCCTTCTCCTCTCTCTGCAGCAAGGAAAAGGCTGGTGTTATTTGCAAAATTAAGACTCAGAGTTGAGCAAAGAAGAGGTGGAAGATAAAATTTTTAGACAAAGTATGTATGTATAGTGAGCCCACCTTAATTCATCAATTTGCTACAGGCAGTTCTGACAAGCACAATCTAACTAATTAATAAATTGAATTTTTAATGTAAATTCCCATGCCTATATTATGTGGGTGAGTTGATTCAGAGAAGTTCAGCCAGTCCTGTGTTTAAATTGTTTGTGCCCTGCTGAGTATTTTCTAGCCCTTAATTTTGTAAAACTGTTATCTCCCAAAAAAACAATGGTGTCCCCCAAAAGCAAGATAAAAGTGAATATACCCAATTAAGTGACAAGGCAGCAAGTCTATCTAGAAAAATAAATCAAGCCCCACCATACAGAACTGAACACTATGCATTCTGAGCTTCTGAAATCTTTCCTTAATGGTAGTACACTCTTAAGCCTCTTAGACACCATACATCTGAAAACACCAGGGGTCTACTCTAAGTTTTAAAAACAAACTGAAACAAGGGCAAACAATTACTAATAAGTAACTAAACTATTTGTGTTTTGGGTTAAATTTGAACATAAAAAGGAGAAAAAACATCAGCTCCACACAAAGCCTGGGTTTGTCGTTTGGACTTTTGGGGGGAGGGGGCGGTGCGTGCGCTTGCAGGTGTTCACACACATGTAGCACCAATCATGGGGTTGAAATCACAGCCTGGGTGTGGTCCTTGAGCTTTTTGCTCAAGGCTAGTACACTACACTTTGAGGCCTAGCTCCACTTCTAGCTTTGTGCTGATTAACTGGAGATAAGGGTCTCATGAACTTTCCTGCCCAGACTGGTTTTGAACCACACACAGATCTCAGTCTCCTGAGTAGCTACAATTAGAAGTGTGAACCACCAATGCTCAGCAAGCCTGGGGTATTTTTTAAATCTGCTTATGTGAAAGATCCCTTACACTATTCACACTGCCCCAAATAACAAGGACTTACTAAGCATTTCCTAATTATTGCTTAAGAAAGCTTTTTTTTTTTTTTTTTTGGTGTCCGGATTAGGGTTTGAATTCAAGGTACTGGGCTTGCTACGACCTATTTAGGAAGCAGAAATAGGAAAGGTTGCAGTTTGTGGCCAGCCCAGGCAAAAAAGTTATCCAAACCTCCATCTCAACAGAAGAGCAAAGTAGGCATGGAGGAAATTGCTTCTCGGCCTAGCTACATGGGAAGGATTGAGTAGGAAGATCACAGTGCAGGCTGACCCAAACAAAAAAATGTGAGACCGGACGTGAAAAATAACAAAAGCAAAAGGGCTGGTGAAATGGTTCAAATAGTAAAGCATCCATCTAGAAAGTGTGAGTCCTGGAGTTCAAACCCTACTACTGCCAATATAATACATCTTTTCATCTAATAGTATCACACTTTAATCTGACAAAGATTAGTACTGGCTTTTTGGTAGTTCATTGGAAATAGAGTCTCTCAAGACATTCCTGCTGGCTTCTCAGAACTCAGCCTTCTGAGTAGCTTAGATACCTATAAACCAAGCTACTCAGAACTACCTCTAGCCAACAAAAACGTATTTTTTTAAGGAAAATTCATTAGTATTGTTTCATTTGGTATCACGTATACATGAATGGATGTAAGTCACAAGAGACCTACTAAAATTTTCCCATTTTCAAAAAGTATAAACCTTTACTTTCATGTATTGCTCCTTTTAATTTTGTTCTTTTGAATAAAATCTTTTACCCTTTAACATTCAAAAACCTAAGTCCATTATGTGAATTTAAAGTTGAAGCACATAATGAAAAACAAAAAAAAACCTACTTTCTCTTTAAAAAGGAACCTCCTTTTAATATTTTAGCTTTAATTCACACAAATAATGAGATTATAGTAAAAAAAATCTAGCTTTTCCTTCTTATACAGAAATACCTGGTAACATTGTTAATATTTCAATTTCTTGCAAAGACACAGCAGGAAAGTTAAATCAGGAAATCCCAAGGAATAAAAACTGTAAGTTTTCTGATCTTTAAGAATTAGTCTTACCTTTGTTAAATCGAAAAAGATTTACAAAAGAACTATATGCTGACTTAAAAGGTGGTTCATCCTGATCAGGAGTCAAAGGTTTAAAGTGTGTGAGACGAGAGGGACTAGTAGGAGACCGAGGCAAATCATTAGCAGAGTCCAGGGCTGGGGAAGAATTATCATCTGTGGCCATTTCATGAGTCTGGAAAAAAAAAAGAAACAAAACATCTAACTTCCTCAGAAACCAAAAAGTGATTCCAAACAACAAGCCACTACATGGAAGATCTGTGTAGAAGTTCTTATCTAAAAAAACAGAATAAATAATATGGTAAGGCCATATCCAAATGAGGGCTACCTCAAAAGGAAGAGTGTCTCAACACCTAACTATGGTTATGTAGCCAACTTTAATTACTAGTCAATTATTTAACATCTTAAGCTAATTTTAAAAAAATCACAGGTAAGGCATAAATGTGAATTTGACATACATTTTAAAAAGCATAACTTTTTTAAGTTACAGGAAAAAACTGGTTTTATACAAGCATATAAATTCTTCAGCTTTGTTCAACTCTTCCCTTTTATATATCTAAAAGAAGAGTCACCTTTTTTAGCAGTTAGATTTGAATTCAGGGACTCACATGAACCATAATACCTTTCTCTTCTTTGGTTGTTATCTTTCAAGGTAGGGACCCCAGTTTTTGTCTGGACTGTCTTCAAACTAGTCTTCCATATCTCCCTTCCCAAGAAGCTAAGATGACAGGAGTAAGCAACTGGGCCAAGCTCTTTAATGACATTTCTCTCTTACTTCAACAAATAGCTCAAGGCATTCCTGTAACTAGTATTCAACTCAATAAACTGTCCTGTATTATCTTTTTTCTCATGGGCACATGATCTTGGGCTTTTCTCCCCTTTAAATCTAACTTCAAAAACTAAATTAAAATAAAGATCTTCAAAGATGTTGTCTCCCTAAATAACTAAAAAAAAATTTGTTGGAAATGGTAAATTATCCTATCAGAAAATCACTAAGGTTTATTTCTTGACCCACAGATTTATACTTTAAGAAGAATTGTAACTCCAGTTAAGATGGAGGTTGCATTTTGTAATCTAATCTGCCCTTTACAGAGAAGATATCAGACTCATAAAATGTTTTCTCCCTCAAAATCCTTTATACAGCTTATTTTATTTTTGCAATAATCCTGGAAAGTGCATACAGAAAGTCTTGTAACTATATTTTACCTCTGAAGAAATCAAGGTGCACAGAACCCTTCTTGGGAAGGAGTGGGGAGACAGAGATGGCTAGAACTAGACCCCAAATCATGCCACAAAGTTCTTTAGACTGAAATTGGTTTTGTAGCTCTTCGCAGACTTTCAATTCTAGGCTATCTACATTCTTTAAAACATAAGACTTTCTAGATTGATACTTTAATTAACAAATTGGAGCAGAAGTGAGAACACTGACTTGAATAGGATTTTGGCCATAAACATCTATTGAAAGGGATGAAGAAAAAAAGAGGAAAAGAAGAGGAAGGAAAAGGAATAGAGAAACAGTAGGAAGGAAAGAAGGAAGAGAAGGAAGAAAGGTTTCTAGTATCATCTTCTATAGGAGAAAGTAGTCACCAATCCTTGTAAAGTGCCATGAAATCTACATCCCAGCATGAAGGGATGTAGGAAACCAGATGGTGATTGAGAAAGTATAACTCAAAAGGGGCTTTTTGTTTTGTTTTTGCTTAAAGAGCACTGGAGAGAAAGGAGAATATCCTGGCAATAACAAACCCAAGCCTGGGAACACAGCCTACATTCTTCTTCCACAAAAGTAACATCAGAAACAGACTAAGCATCTGCCTAAAATGTCTCTGAATTACTTGTAAAGGACATTTTGACACAAAACTTGATCAGGCTTTGAAGATATGAAATTACCATGAAAATGCTCTCTAGTACTACCAAAAACATGAAAACACATAGTAAATATAGTCGCTGAAACATAAATGCAAGCATATAGTTAACCTCTTAATTATCATGACAACAGTATTCTAAAGAAATTACACTGAAACTCCCATTTTTTGACATCTTAAGTACTTACTGTATGAACTAAAACTGTTTACTGACAGGTAATTACAAGTATTAACCTACCTAGCCAATTCTTGATTCCTGACCAATTTTCTTGATGCATCACACCTCTTTCCAAGGCTAGTGTGGTATACACAGACTTACTACACTATTTTGGTAAAGCCAAAGACTAAACAGACATCAAGCACAGAAAATAAGTTGATTCTTTACCAGCCAATATCAAGGGTTAGGTTAACATCCAAACATCGGCCTAGTAATTTTTAGGACATTTTTCTAATATATATAATCATCTGAATATTTAGTAACGCTAGTCTCCATCAAGGAAGCGTTGGTGTTGTAGTTCAATTACAACCAACATAACAGAAATACTCAAGGAAAAAAAGCAGAAACGTGATTTCTGTAACTCTTCCCAGAAAGTAAAATTTGCCCCCACACACAGGAAAATAGTCTCGGCTCTCAGAAGGGCCAATCTACCTACAAGAAAAAGAAAAGGAAAAAAACAAAACAAAACTAACAATGTCTCGGACCCAGAGTGGAACTCAGGGAGTGCCCACAAACAAGCTTCGGATAAATCCAAAGTGAAGAGTTGGATGTGCCAGGTGAGACTACCACCAATATCGTAGCGATTGTACACCACGGGATGCACTGGGGATTAAACACCCTGGATGACCACGCTGCGCACACCACGCACCCAGGGATGAACGCGGTGTGCACACAATGTCAACACCGAGCCTATCTTTGAGTTTAAGACCCAGTACCCCCCCTCTCCAGCCCCCCAAAAAGACGCCCAATTCCCGGTGCACCCCCACGTTCCCCTCTCCTCTTTGCGAGGAACACGATTAACAAAGGGGTAACGCGTAAGCCACTGGCGCATCAAACACAAATACAAGGAAACGGGTTCACCACGACAGGGGCCAGCATCGAAGAGGGAAACTGGTGAACTTCGGTTCACCTCCGACCCCGCCCCGGCTCGTCCGCCCCGGAGAGGACGCACCCACCCTCCCGGTAAGTTCGGGCACCGGGGACCGGGCTTCCAGGGGACCTCTTCCAGGAGCGCCCCACCCGGCCCCATCCGCCAGATCGGGCGCAGCCCGGGAACCAGCGGCGGCAGCTCGCCGCAGACCCGGCCTCCCTGGCCCGGAGACCCGGCCTCGGCCGCAGCGGCCTCCGGCCCCGGCCGGTGGAACCCCGGCTCCCACCTCACCTCACCTCTCCTCCCGCTCCAGCCCGGGCTCTGCGAAGCCGGCCTTCCTCCCACTACCAGCTCCAGGCCCGCTCCCTGATCCCCGCGCCTCCCTCCCGGCGTCGCCGGCCTCCCTCCCGCAGCCAACCGCTTCCCCCCCAACTCCGGTGCACGGAGCCCGCCCCGGAGCGCGGCGAAAGCAAACCCCGGCGGTTGCGCCTGGAAGCGAAGCTGCTTACAGGGTTGCTGCGGCTTCTCGCTAGCCACCCCCGCCGGCCCGCCCGCGAGGCTCCGCCCCCTCGCTCCTCCTTCCCACCAATCCCCAACCTTTCCCCGAGTGGACTCCGCCCCCTCCTCCTTCAGCCGCGCGACGTTCCGATCAGATGCTCAGGTCGAAGGAATCGAGCCCAGAGAGGATCGTCCTCGACTGCTCGGGTGGAACGCGGCCGTCTCCGCCTTCCCCGAGGACGCTGCGGCCACAGTGCGCGTGAGCGTCACGCGTGCGGGTCACCGGACGGGTGCGTGGTCCCCGGGACAGCAGACCCGTGCTGGCTGGCCTGCAGTTACCGTATGTGTTCGACACCGTGGGCACTCTCCCTAGGTTACCGCGCCCACGGCGCCGGGGTTAAGACGCGGATTCAGACCGGCCAGACTCGGGCCCTAGCTACCGCGGTGACCTGGGACAGACCGACGGCTCATTTCTGTCCGTCTCTGATCTCTGGTGTGCAGCATGGACCAATAATATCAGTACTCGACTCTAACAAACTCTTCTGGGGAAACTAAGTAAAACAAAGCGCTTGATGCAAGTGAGTGGCAGCGGTCCTACCCTGAGTAGATGATAATGGCTCTCCGTAAAGCTTTTGGTGCGGGTTTTGTGCTGCAAGTACGGATGCAAATAAAGTTACCGAGACCCGACTTGCTCCATTTGGCTAGCATGGCCCGCTAGCTCCGTGCAGCCAAGAGTGTAGAAAGTACGCTTAAACCTGCTGATAGAAATCCTGAGGTTTGTCCAAGGGAGCATGCCCAGGATCAGGGAAAGGGCAAGGCAAGGGGGTTGGGGGGAATAAGAGAGGTGCTATTCTGAATTCGAATCTGTGGATTATTTTCCTCAAGAGTTTTCCTCGAATTGGTCTTTTCAGCTACTGGGAAAATACCACTGAACCCTGCAGTTTGGTAACTGCAAATCCTGTTGAGCCATGCTAGTGTCTGTATTGAGCTTCCTCTGGGTTCTTCACTACTGCTCCGTGCCAATCTTCTCTCCTTCCCTCTCTCTGACCCACAGTATCTCAAACTGTCATTCTTAGTGAAAAATAAGCCCAGATTGCTTTGGATGGAACCTTTAACCTAACTACCCCCACCACAACATTTACCTGAATGGGGCCCTGGCCTGTCTGGCCCCCATCTACCCTCTCCTATATCTGGGCCTTTGCTGGATATCTTTTACCAACCCTTTACCAATCTTTTACCAATACCATAAATGTGCTCATGCTCAAGCCTCTGCTTGAGGGGCGGGGGAAGAGAAGGAGGAAGCTAAAAAGAAAACTCTTAAGTTAACATACCAGATGTTAATATTTGAAAACCAACTGATCATATGAACAGAATAGATAATCCAGACCCGAAAGAGAGGGAGAGGGGGAGGGAAAGAAAGAGAGAGAGAGAGAGACTTGATGTATGGTAAAAAGAAACGCCAGTCAACAGACAGTGGGTCATTCATTGGACCAGCAATGTGTCAGTTAGTAGGTGCTGTGCTAGGGATAAAACTGTGAACAAGACAAAGTCAGTGACCTCCACACGTTCCCAGTCCCACAGCAATATTAGCTAACAGTTGCATTTCTGTGGAAAAGAGATAGAAAATTGTTTTAGGGAAGAAGTCTGTTTAGGTACTCACTTCATACTAGACATACAAAATGCACTCCAGATGCATTTTATCTACAGAGATTCTTTCTTTAAAAAATTTTTCCCTCAAACTTGCATCTGAGCATTCTTGCCAAGTTGGGTGTAAGTAAAGCATAGTATTTATAGTACTATGGAACTTTACTTATCTTCTATATGTCTTAGTTACATTTTACTGACAACAAGTAGCTTTTCTCTCTCCTGATTTTCTCTCTTTATTGATTAGTATCAGCATGGACTTGTGTTTATCTTTCAGGATGTTATAATTCACTTCTGCCACTATACATGTTTACATTCTTTGATCCTCTTTTTTAATCACCCATACCCAGAGCCTCACACTTGTTTGGATTGCTTGGTCAGCTTGCTTGCTCAGCTGATGTTCAATACGTGCACTACACCTGCAGCCTGGCTTTTTGATGCTTATTTTGGAGATGGAGTCTCACAGACTTTTCCACTCAGGCTGGCTTCAACTACCCCATTCCTCAGATCTCAGCCTCCTGAGTAACTAGGATTACAGGTGTGAGTTCATCTTTTTATAGATCCATATAACAAGTCATGCCATATAAATGGATTTCTGTGCCTGGATTATTTTAACATCATGTCCTCCAGACTTATGTGTGTTGTCACAAATGATAAGATTTCCTTCTTTTGTATTGTTTTGTTTGTTTGTTACCATACTGGGGATAGAATCCAGATCCTTGGACTTGCTGTGCAAACTGTCACTTGAGGTTTGCCCCTATCTCGTTTCTTTTTTGAGGCTGAATGGTATTCTGTGGCACATATATACATTATCCTTTACCTATTCTCTCATTTGACGGACACCCAGGTTGATTTTAATATCTTGGCTATTATGAATCATGCTGCAATGAACAACATAGGAGGTTCATATGTCTCTGGCTTACTTATTTCCTTTCTTTGGATATGTACCAAAAAGTAAGACTTCCAAATCATAGAGTAGTTCTAGTTTTCATTGTTTTAAGTACCCTCTATAGTTTTTAGCATAATATCTGTGCTAGTTTACATTCCCACCAGCCACTTGCAGTGGTTCCATTGTCTCCACATCCTCTCCAATAGGAGTTACCTTTTGTCTTTTTAATTATAGGCATCGTAACTGAAGATGATATCTAGCATTGTTTTAATTTATATTTCTCTGATAGCAATGTTTGTCATTTTCCCATATACCCCTAAGCCAGTTTTCTTTTTTTTAATTTTTATTTATTTTTTTATTGTGAAAATACTGTACAGAGGGGTTAAAATTACATGGGCAAGATAATGAGTACATTTCTTATCAAACATTGTAGCCTCCTCCTTTGTTTCCCCTTCCCATCCCTTCCCAGCCTCCCCCCCGCCCCTCCCACCCAAACCTCCCCCCCACCAAAGTTGTAAAGTTCATTTTTGACATGACAACTTGTACTTCTCATTGTTGCAACGAGTCCACCTGTATCCTTATTTAAACGACTTATTCCTAGGCCAGTTTTCTATTCATACCCTTTGCCCTTTTTATAATTGGGTTTAATTTGTTCTCCAGCTTTTGAGTTGTTCAAATTGTTTATGTATTTTAGATAATAGTGGCTTATCAGATATAAGGTCTGCAAATATTTTCTTCCATTCCATAAGTTTGTCTATTCTTCTGTTGGTTGTTTCTTTGGTTTTGAAAGAGTTTTTTGGTTTGTTTTTTGTTTTTGGGGGGTTTTGTCAGTCTTGGTCCCTGGGTGCTGTTACTTAGCTTCTTTGCTCAAGGCTAGTGCTCTACCATTTGAGCTACAGTGCCACTTTCAGTTTTCTGAGTAGATTATTGCAGTTAATAGTCTTCCCAGTTTTCCTGCCCCAGCTGGCTTCAAACCACAATCCTCAGATCTCAACCTCCTGAGTGCTAGTATTACAGACAAGAGCCACCTGTGCCTGGCTGAGCTTTTAGTTTTGATATAATCTCAGAAGTCTCTTTTGGGAAGTCAGACCAAAACTCTTTATCAAGGCCAAAGTCACAGAACTTTTCCCCCACTGTGATTTCTTCTAGTAGTCTTATAAGCAGTGAGATTCATCTAAACATTTCAAGCAGTAACTTAGTTTTAGCCAAACATCAGTTATAAAATTTAATTGGTGTTCTAAATTGTAATATATTGTTTTATAGTAGTTTGTTTCTAGTCAGTTTGCCTATATAACTTTATGGTTGTATGAGAAGTATCACTATTAGGAGTGTGTGCATAAAAGAAAAGAAACACTTTCAGAGTAGTGTTAGAATGCAGTACTAGACATAATTTTTGAAAACTAATTTTAGGGCTCCTAATCAGGAGGCTGACATCTGAGGATGGCAGTTCCAAGCCAGCCCAGGCCAGAAAGTCTGTGAGATTCTTATCTCCAGGTAAGCACTGAAAAGCTGAATGTGGAGCTGTGGCTTGAGGAAAAAAAAATCAGGGACAGAACCTAGGCCCTAAGTTCAAACTCCAGGTGCAAGCAAGCAAGCGTGCAAGGGTGCGCGCGCGCGCACACACACACACACACACACCCTGACTTTACACCTCCAGTCCAACTTCACTAAACCCAGATAATGATCCCCTTCACTATCTTCTAAAGCAAATGGCAAAAAGATTTATTTCAGGAAAATAATGAATATACCGAAGGCTAAAGAGCTAGTCACAGGTGGTGGCGTTGTCATCCACCTGTGGCTCTCCCGCCGTGTATGAGTTCCACCCTTCGTGTCCCAGCAGTACCTAAAAAACCCAAAGAAGACTGGGAGCATTCTTCTTTTAAAGACTCACTCCAGTCCACATTCAAAAGCACCAGGAAAGGACCCGCCCTGGTCCAGTTCCCCACTGCAGACTCACTGCGGGGTGCTCTGGATCTGTCCAAAGCCCAGGCCGCGGCGTCCTGCGCGCCCCTCTCCCGGCCTGCAGGTGGCATTGTCGGTCTTGGGCTGCCGGAGTCCCGCGGAATTCCGGCGGCGGCGTGGCAGCCCCTTCCCCCACCTGGAGCGCAGCCCCGGCTGCACCGCGGGCCCCGCCCCCAGGCGCGTGGCCCCGCCCCCACGGGTCCGGGCGCCCCCCAGAGGAGTCGGCGTGCGGGGATTGGAGGGGAGTGGAGGGCGGGGCTTAGGGAGGTGGGCTGAGGAGGTGGGGCTTGGGAGGGGACAAAAGCCAGGGAAGAGGAAAGCCGGACCCGCCCTGCAGTCCTGGGGTTCGTGCTGAGTTGTAGCCTGAGCCTGGGCGGCTGCCGGGAGCCGAGTGGCGAGCGTTGTGCAGCATTTTGAGAGGGAGAGCAGCCGTATAACACCCACACACACCTGCTCTTCAGCTCCCTTTCTGCAGGTAATCTACGGCTCGGAGGGGCGACGCCCCGAGCTATTGGGGGGCGGGGCCCTTCAATTCCAGAGAAGGCCAAAATGGGGGGAAAGGAAGAAAGCCCAAATCTGGGGTAGGAAGGCCTGGGTGCGGAGAAGGCACCAGTCCAGGTGTTGGGCATGGCAAGGGGAAAGCAGGGGAAGTGGGTGCTGGGGTGCTCGGTTGGTGTCAGCGGCTCGGGTGCACGGGAGGGGGAATCGGGCGTCGAGGGAGTTGAATGCATTGAGAAGTAGACCAGATCTGCAGCTGGGGGAGGAAAGCCAGCTGCGGGGGGTTCCAGGGAAGCCTAGTTCGCTGTCTGGGCTGTTGGGGGAAGGAACCGTCTGACAGTAGAGGGCAGGGAGCTGAGACTGGTGTACGCGGGGATTGGGGCTTGTACGGAGAACTCGGTAGGCCGGGACCTGGGTGAGACTAGCGGAGGAGCCCGGGTTGGCGGGGATGGGGGGGGGGGTGAGGAGGGGGTGCGGGGAGAGCTCTAACTTCGAACTTGGAATAATTGCAAGGGCACCCGGGGGGTGCCCTGTGGGAGGGGCGTTGGGAGACACACACACACACACACACACACACACTCCCCGATTTGGAGCTGGGATGGGGAGAGGTTCCCAGGCCTGCTAGGAGGGTTGTGAGATTAAAAGGTCTGGGCACCACACAGAGGAAGGGCATGGAAATCTGGAAGGCGGAACCCAGCCAGCTTCCTTGCTTATCTCCTGCACAATGGCTAGCAAGATGTTTACAGACTTTGCCTTGTCACGGAAGGACTTGAAAACCCCAATACCGGCTAACCGACCCCGTGCCCCGAAGGTGCACAGAAGATGCTTGTACTTCCTTTGACCTTTATTTGCAAGGTGCCTACGGATCTAAAGCCACCCTTTGCCCTTCTGGATACACTTAGCACTGTACTTTAAACCAGATAAACTGGGCTATCTACATGGTATTAAAATTAACCAAATCTTCCCAGCCAGAGTATGTGGTTTGTTAAGACTTACTATTTTGTTTTGTTTGCAGAAGTAAAACTGCATTCAGTTGAGACCTCAAGACTGAGAGGACTCACAAACTAGAAATCCGTTTACTGTGAAGGTAAGAATTATCCATTGCCCCTCTTCCTTGCATTCTTTGATGTGGCTTTACCATGGTTAATTGGTGTGGGACCCAGCTGTTGGCACTGAGTGATTCAGGAACATTTCCAACAAGATTGTAACTGCTTCCTTCTTTTCTGAGGCCGTTGCCTTCTCTGTAACAGAATATTTTGAGCTCAGCTAAAAACAAAATTGGCTAAAAAGCTTGGGATTGAAAAATTAGATAGGGCAAAGGATAGGGCTTTGTGTGTGTGTATGTGTGTGTGTTTTTCCTTAGACTACTGTGTATTATTACTCCAGGTTTATTTTCTGGAATTTCACAACGAGTCAGGAGGTTGGAATTCAGCTGCCTTCAAACTAAACTAATGAGCTGGTGGCTGGTTGTGCTTCAAAGTCTCCTTCCTTGAGGAGTTGGGGGGTTGGATGGAGACAAAATCTGAAGCACTAAAGGGACCTAAAGCCCCACCTGTGGAAATCAAATCCAGAATAAATACAGTAATGCCTTATATAGTTATATTAATAAAGAGAACTTTTTCATTTTAAGGTGCCAAAACAATGAACACATAAAGTGAGTAAAACCTAAGAAGTTGGTTATGTATTATGAAATAATGAAAAATTATTCCAAAGAATATATTTGCATTCACTGAGAAGGAAATAAAAAATACACATGACCTTTTCACTAGACTCTGTTCTTTTGATAATTGTATTTGCCATAAAGGGAAAACAGCTAAGTCATACCTGTTGCATAATACTATGGCCCTGAAAATGTAGTACTAAAACCGAGATAAGTTTGCTGTCTCTTCTTTTTTTACTATGTTTTGTTTAAATAAAGGTCAGATGTGATTGTGGCATTAAGCATGCCTGAACCATCTACTTTAAGCTGTAGTACAAGGTATTTTTAGAATAACTGATGGAAATAATTGATTGATCCACATTAGTTTGTTCATTTCTTTTATTCTAGTTGAATTTTAGAAAATTCTCCAGTAATGATCTAGGGTATTTCCTCAAAACTAATAAGAATACTGGAATTGCAAATTTGAGAAGGGAAAATGGTTCTGAGAGTTAGAAACATATCCTGAAGGTTACTGTCTATAAATAATTTTATTTTTTAAATTTAAAGGCCAAATTATTTTAACTCAACTTTTCAAGAGAATGTTTTGGGCTTCTTATCTAGTAATGTTTGTTTTTTTGTCAGTTCTGGGGCTTGAACTCTGGCCCTGGGCGCTTTTTTCCTCAGCTCTTCAACTCAAGGCGAGCACTCTACCACTTGAGCCACAGCACCACTTGTGGTTTTCTGAGTGTTTTATTGGAGCACCACCACCACCAACCCTGCCTGGTTTTTGAGACAGGTTCTTGCTGTATAGCCTAATTGCCTCTCAAACTCTTGATTCTCCTGCCTTTGCCCTCTGCCTCTGGAATGCTGGCTACACAGGTGTAAACCACCATGCTTGGCCAAAGTAGCCACAGGCAAATTATCACCATCCTCCTCCTCCTCTTCTTCCTCCTCTTTCAAACTGGAGTTTGAACTCAGGGTCTGGACTTGCTATGCAGGTAGTTTACCACTGAAGCATGTTCCCAGCCCCAAAACAGACTTCTTAAAAGAAAGTAAATGGTACCACTTTTCATTCTGCTCATCCTGGGAACCCAATAAAATAACGAATTGAGTAGAAGCATTCGACTAACGTGATATGATGGATATAATAATTTCATAAGACAATAATTGAAAATGTTGGTTGCATTATTAAGGGTGTGTTAGTATCAGGCTCCCCTTTGTTTAGACAGTTGGCCTTTGCCAAGCTTATTTTCTCTTAAATAATACACATCTTGTAGGTTTGCTTATCTTATAGAGATGATTCAGACATCACACAGTGATATACAAGAAGGTGTTTGATTCTAATGGTAAATGTTGTAACTAGAATATTATACCACTAGCTACTATAAATTGTTCTTTTCGTAGTCACCAAATTATTTATGTTTTATTTATATTTAATTGTTTATACTTTATAATGAAAAATTATTTTTTAAAAGATTGAAAAATTACTTTTTTATGTGTATTTCTTTTAGGTTTATTGAAGTGAAAATGTCCAAAAAAATTCACGGTGGTTCTGTGGTAGAGATGCAAGGAGATGAAATGACTCGAATCATTTGGGAATTGATTAAAGAAAAACTTATTTTTCCCTATGTGGAACTGGATCTGCATAGGTAAATGCATTACCCTACCATAGAGCTACAAATTCAGAAAGCATGATCTAAATTATTTCAACGTTTCAGCTAGCTATTTTATGTAGCTGTAGTTATATTGTATAAGTAAAGTTTATTTTTTTAAGTCCAAATTCATTCTGTTGAATTTTCTCTTTTAACATATCATTGGAAAACCTGGATCTATCATTTAGAAATCAAGCATTCTAAGGAAAACAAAGTGAATATCAGGTCTAATTTTCTGCTTCCTGCAAAGGTTTTATTTCTAATAAGTCAGTGGCCAGGAGTAGCACAATGTATTATTTGTTGGAGGGAAAAAAATAAGAGATCTAAGAACAGTAAGCTAATCAGAGGGAGCACAATTATGTCCTTCCACACTGTATCATTTATCACCGTACTTAGTTAGTGGAAATCTTTCAGGCATTCTTCATACAGCAGCAGCACACAAAGAATCCTTGCAGTCACTTCCTTGACCAGTTCTCATCAGCAGTTCCCTTCAATCATCTGTGTCCATTTTTGCCCTGAATTTACAGTGTGTGAGGACAAATGCATGGGAAAGTATGGTCTTCCTCCCATTCTTTCCCCGAGTTTTTCATCAATAACATAGGAAAGCTTCTTTGTACATTTAAACTAGATAAAGACAGAATTTTTAAAGGATTGGAATGGTATTGTGTTGAACAACATATCTCAGACAAAATATTGGCAACTCTTAAGTGTGTTTGCCTTGACCTAGAATTGGGCAGAATGTGTTCTGAGGACTATTACTTGGTGGAGTGTAGGCATTTGGATAGCATTTCCATAAATGCCCTTTCAATTGTTTTGACCCTAAGTCACTGATAATGTCTGTATTAAAAGTCAACCCAACATATAGAGAAGGAAGCACTAAAAAAGCTCCTAAGTGGGGGGCTGGGAAGGTGGCTCAGTGGAAGAGTGCTTGCCTTGCATGCATGAGGCCCTGGGTTCGATTCCTCAGCACCACATAAGAAAAAAGCTGGAAGTGGCGCTGTGGCTCAAGTGGTAGAGTGCTAGCCTTGAGCTGAAGAACTGAGGGATAGTGCTCAGGCCCAGAGTTCAAGCCCCACAACCGGACCCAAACAAATAAAAAATAAATTAATTAAACTTAAAAAGCTCCTAAGTGGATAAAGAAACAATTTAAAACTGTCCCCTGTTTTAGAACTTTGTATGACAATAACATTTCATAGGGTCCGATATAATAACTGCAAAAAATGCTGGAGCCGCTTCAGCCTAGCTACATAAGGGTAGCTCGCCCCTGTAATATTAACTACTCAGGAGGCTCAGATCTGAGGACTTCAGTTCAGAGCCAACTGGGGCAGAGAGGTTTGTAAGTCTCTTACCTCCAATTAATCACAAAAAAAGCCAGAAAAGGAGCCATGGCTCAAATGATAGAGCAGTAGCCTTGAGCACAAAAGCTCAGAAACAGCACCCAGGCCCTAAATTAAAGCCCCAGGACTGATACTAAAAAGGGAAAGATGGAGAACCTCTATGCTTAGGAGGAAAAAGTCACTGACTACAGACTGAAGTTGTTCCAAAATCACTGTTATGACTAACAAATACTTTTGAAGAGTAGAAGAATAGTTAGTTTGGGATTTTCTTTGGAGAGTTTCCTGGGAGGGATGGTGGTTTGGTTCATTGTTGTTGCTGTTGTTGACTATACTATAATGTAGGCCATTTATTCTTTCATGTCTTTTAGAAATACTAAGGAGAAAAGGGAAAATAACCTAGTAATTTGCTGGTAGATTCTTCTGATGAGAAATAGTTCCAACCACATGAAAACTGCTTACCACACTTACTATGGAATTGGGATTAGATATCCAACATTCCTAGACAAGAAGACAAGAGGGTATATGGTTTTATTAGATTCACATGAATTATCTAAGGTTGAAGCAGTTAGAAAATTTTATTTGGAAATACAGCATGATTTTTATTTCTATGTTTGCATTAGCAGTTGGGACATCTAAAGAAAGAAAGATGCAAAAAAAACTAAAAGGAAAATCTAGAGGCTTAATAGTTTAGCAGTTGTTGGAAATCGAAGCATTTTAACATCCTGGCAACAAAATAAATCATTACATTATTTAGTTTTTACCCCTTTCAACCAAGTATTACATACTTTAGATGAAGCTTTGCATTATTTTCCTGTGCTCCATGAGCAACAGGCAGTCATTAGGCAGTATAGGTACTAATGTGTATTTAGTTAAATTTCTCTAGTGTGCTCAAGATCGTTGAGGTGGATTCCACTACCCAGTAAACTGTAGGCTTCATTCCAGAACACAGACTTCCCCAAGATTTAAAGGAAGGTTCAACTTATAACTAGCACAGTAATGAAAGAATTGTTAGCTCTTTGAACATTAACTGTCATATATGCCTCTGACTACTTTTAATGCCAAAACATACACACACTCTTCTTTAATCCTTCCAGCTCTTTTTTTTTTTAGAGCACAGTACTTACAGTAGGAAAAATAAAGTGGTACTTATGTAATTTGTAGGCTACTTATATGGAAAACTGGACCAAAGATTTGTGCTTTTACTGCTTCTGTCTGTGAAAAACAGAAGATAATTTGGCACAATTGTTTTCCATGAAGTTTCCTGAAAGGAAGTTTTCCACTATAGTGAATAAGCCTAGCCCAGCCTTCTGTTTCTCTTCTTTGTTTTTTGGTTTTTTGTTTTGTTTTGTTTTCCTAATTGGCAGCCATCTTCTCTAGTTACAGTGCATTATTACTAAAGGTCCTTAGGACCTTTCTACAAGCAAGTTACCTACCATCACTCTTCTCACAGGTTATAATCTTACCAGCTTGTTTGAAAAGCCACACTTTTACTTTTTCCCCTCCCAAGCTATGACTTAGGCATAGAGAACCGCGATGCTACCAATGACCAAGTGACCAAGGATGCTGCAGAAGCCATAAAGAAGTACAATGTTGGCATCAAGTGTGCTACCATCACCCCTGATGAGAAGAGAGTAGAGGAGTTCAAGCTGAAACAAATGTGGAAATCACCAAATGGCACCATCCGGAATATCCTGGGTGGCACTGTCTTCAGGGAAGCTATTATCTGCAAAAATATCCCTCGGCTTGTGAGCGGATGGGTAAAACCCATCATCATTGGTCGTCATGCATATGGGGACCAAGTAAGTCATTTGGGGTATATTCTTTTACCAGGCCCCAAACAGTCTGATTATGTGTTTTATTCTTTTCCTGGTTTTGTTCTGTTGATTTTTATTTTTTGTTGTTGAGACTACTCCTTCCTATATATTTTACTCTTACCTTTGAGTATCTGTGCCCAATAAGTAAAGTACAAGACTGAGAAATACAGAGATTTAGGTATAACAGTATATTGACATCCTTTTAAGAAAAGGAAAATATAAACTTTCATATGCACATATCTCAGCATTAAGGATTATTTTTTTATGTGTGTATGCCTGCATAAGGGCTTGAAGTCGGAGTTTCATACTTTCAGCTTCTAGTTTAGAGCTACTGCTCTATTTGAGCCTTGCCTCCAGCCCAACATTTTGCTGGTTAATTGGAAATAGAACTGCAAAAACTTCTGCCCACACTCACTTGGAGCCTCTATACTTCAGATCTCAGCCTCTTCCTTAGCTAGATTTTCAGGTGTGAGCCACTAGCATCCAGCTACTTATGAATTTTTTTCAAATGTGTTCTTTATCTTTTTCTTACATTATATTATCATACAGGATTTTTCTGTTTTCCTGTTGATAATTTCATATAGCCAACCAAATCAATGGTCTTAAACACCAGCTGTACAAGAGTATTCACTTATGAGTCTTTTGGTGGTTTTGGTTTTTTGCTTTTATTTATTTGTTTCTCTGTTTTAATTCCAATATCTGAATCCCATCCTATAGTGACTGAAATCTGAATTCTGCCAGGGCTCAGGTTTTCTAAAGTGATTCTAATGTACTGAGATTCTAATGGGCTGAGAACCACAAAGGATTTTATTAAACCTGAATATGGATGAGGGAAAACTTAGTACCTAAAAGCAGTGTTGTTAAAGCATTCTGTTCAGCTTGAGAAACAAATGTTTTTTGTCCTTCTGCACAAGTAAGCTTATTGCCATAGTTAGTAACGAAATTGCCAGCTACACATATTCTAAATTCTGTGTTGAAACTTGAAATCTGAAACTGAGGTTTTAGATTTTTGCAGAAAACTAGCTTAAAAGAAGTGGAGAGGGCTGGGAAGGTGGCTCAGTGGTAGAGCGCTTGCCTTGCATGCTCAAGGCCCTGGGTTCGATTCCTCAGCACCACATAAGCAAAAAGAAAAAAGCCGGAAGCGGCGCTGTGGCTCAAGTGGTAGAGTGCTAGCCTTGAGCTGAAGAGCTGAGGGACAGCGCCCAGGCCCAGAGTTCAGGCCCCACGACCAGACCCAAAACAAAACAAAACAAAAAAAAAAAAAGTGGAGAAACAGGAATCCATAATGATGATATCCAGAGACTTTGATGTATTCATCCCTGAGAACAGTTTGGCCAGAGTAATGTCTCTATCCCTGGGGATAAGGTTACCCAATCAGTCCTCCAGGGATCAGCCAACTTTGTTTTACTCTGTAGCTCAAGCTATCCCTTCATCCTGGCCTTTCCTTCACAGATACTTTTGAGAGACACAGACAAGTGAACAGAGATAGCAGGAATACAAACATCCATATCTAGGGAACACTACCCTGGATACATTTTTATGAGTTAACTCAGTCCTTTTTTTTTGGTTAATTGTTATGGCATTGGTCATTTAGAAGAATGAACATTCTTGTTGTTTAAATCCAGATTGAAAATCTCAAATATCAGGTTAGTTTGCTGTCTGAATGTACATAGACAGAATGTACAAATTAGAAACAAATTGCCACTCAGAATGAAGGACTCCATTAGTCAGACGTAGACTAGGTATTGTTTTTGTTATCTTGACTGCTCTTTCACCAGCTCTTGTAAGTATTAGTGTAAACCAGCAGGTGTAGCTGGCTCTTGCTGATACCTGACTTCAAGTCATTAAGTAATTCAGGTCCCTGAAGGAGGTCCAGTGCAGCAGTGACTTGTGAATGCCTAGGATTTCCCAGGCCTTTTTCTTCACTGGAGTGCTCAGGCTGGTGAAGGAGAAGGCATTCCTTCAACTGCCCTTGCCCTAGGGCCATCGTCCTATCACATGTGCTTGGAGAAAGACTGTTCCATGTGGCCTAGTGTTTGTCACTGTGACGATCCATGGTCAGATTGAGCCCTAAAAACATATGTAGAACCAGATCTCAAGCCCTTTGACCCTGGGACCATTATTTCCCCTGCCTTAGACTTCTTTCCTCATATGATCTAAGAATCAAATGAGGTGAGCATCTAAAGCATCTGACAGATACATAGTAAGGACAAAGCATCAGCTCTCTACAATCATCTTCACCACTGCATCAAATATCAGCCTTTCCCAGGAAGGCTTCCTTTACTCCAGGCTTTCATCTTCTGTCTCTCTCACCCTAAAGCTTTAGCATATTTTGGTGATGGAGGAGTATGTATAGCTCCCCGGTGATATTGAAAGCTCTTTTGGTATGTCTCACTTATGTTTGTCTCTTACATTGTAAGCTTCCTAAAAGAAAGCAGTCTGCACTCATAAAACTGTCCTATATATCATAGGCAGCTAATAAATACTTACTGATATTTAACGGGTACTGTCACTAATTAAAAAATATCTCAAGACCTCTCCATCTCATGAATCTATATTCTCTTTTGTTTTGTGCCCTTATCATTCCTGGTAGATTATTTTTCTTTTCTTGACCCATTTTTCCTTCCCTACATAGTATAGAGCAACTGATTTTGTTGTTCCTGGACCTGGAAAAGTAGAGATAACCTACACGCCAAATGATGGAACTCAAAAGGTGACATATTTGGTCCATAACTTTGAAGGTATGTATAAGTTCATCATAAGCTACTACTTGTTGTTGTTGTTGATGATGTTGATGTTGTTTGTGATACTGAAGATTTGAACTCAGCCTTCTTGGCTGGCATGAGGCCACTAAGCTATGCCTTCAGCCCTGGTTTTCACTGTTTATATTTAGGATACAGTCTTGCTTCTCATTCAGGTGGGCACCTGAGCCCACCTAATTCAGGCTTCCTCTTATCCCTGTGCCACCACATCCAGCTTCCCTTCTTACAGCTCTGCCCTGGTACTGCAATCCTCCCAATCTTAGCCCCACTCCTTTGATACGGCACATGTAAGCTAGTACACAACTATGAGTTAAGAAGAGGTTTTGGTGAACTTCCAGGCTGGCCTGGAACCACAGTTCTCCTTTTTCATCCTCCCAGATAGTATTAGCAATGGACCTAGTACCCAGCTCCTTTGGAAGAAAAATTATTTAGGCAACATTATTACTAATTTGTTTTTTTTTTTTAACTTAGCTAGGTAACTGCCAGAAAATACAACTGAATCTACCACATTTCTGCAGAACCCAAAACTTAAAAAAAAAAGTACTTTGCTTCAGGGCTTCACCATGACTTGAGCAAAGGTAGAAAGAACAGTAAAAAGAAAGTAGCCACTTCATTGGAAGTATATATAGACAAAGATGAGATAATTAGGTAGGAATATGTTATCATAGTTGTATAAATTAAATGTTAATAGCCCCAAATTTCCTGTGCTCTAGTAAGAGTTTATATTTGGGAATTGTTTATTTGCTAAAAGTTTCCCCTTGTCCTTCTCAGAATTTTTCCTTTGCAAGTAAAATTCTGAATTTTTTAACTTATTTCTCCTAGCTGCTTCAAAGGATGATTTGGACAAATCTCCCAGAGTATGAAAACATTCATCACTTAAGTGAGAAGCCCAGTCTTCTGTCAAAAATATCATTTTAGTAGAATCTAGTTCGATAGGTTTCAGTGCTTTTCACTTTTCTGAGCCAAGTTAACCTGGGGCATTGGAATGAGTTCAAGTTCTAACTTTTAGTAATAACAGAGTTCAATTAAGAAACACTAGTAATCCCCTATAACCTAATTGCTTCCACCAATTATGGTAGGCCTGGTCAGTATCTAGAGGAAATTAGGAGAATATTCATTAACTATTTGAAATGTGTATCTTTCTTAATGACTGAAAATTGAGTGCACCCCTAAGTTTAAAATACCTGTTAACCAAAAAATAATAATAATGTCTGAGACAGATAAATAATTATTTGTTCATTCTTCAGCATATTTCTGATTCACAATAGCAGTTTTTGATATTGCAGTATCTTCAGGATTCTAAAGACTATTGTTTTTCTTTCTTCATTGCCTTTTAATAACTTTCTCTTGCTTTTCCAAGAACTGACATTGTCCCATGCTGTGCCTCAGGGACTCATGGTCTGTTTAGCTTGGAAGCCTGTCTGGGACTGTAAAAGTCATGGCTATTTTGGATAGCCATGAGTTTGATCCTTTGGTTGTTAGAAATTATTTTAGCCTTGTACCTATACTACATATACCTTTCTCTTTTTTTTTCCTTCTGTTGCTTTCCCCTCTGCAGAGTGTGGCGGTGTTGCAATGGGGATGTACAATCAAGATAAATCCATTGAAGATTTTGCACACAGTTCCTTCCAGATGGCTCTGTCAAAGGGCTGGCCTTTGTACCTGAGCACCAAAAACACTATTCTGAAGAAATACGACGGGCGCTTTAAAGACATCTTTCAGGAGATCTATGACAAGTAACTACAGCTCTTTCATTCCTTTTCCTTCTCTTCCTTTTTCTTTTTTTCAAGTAAACTGGCACTTATGGTGTATTTACATCTCCTTATCCCTTCAATTCTGAGACAGATTGAGTGAAAGTTACCATTAGCCCTGTAAGTTAAATAAGGACAAATCTGAAATTTAGTAGTGAAACACAACCACTCTGAGTTGTTTCTAGGAAGTAAACATGTTCTTAAATTTGGGCCCCACATTATTAGTTTTTTGTTGTTGTTTATTGTTTTGTAGAACCAGAATTATTTAAAGTTTGAATAAAAAAATCCTGTTAATGGACTTGAAGCATGATTCAGGTAGTCCAGCCCTTGGCTAACAATCACCAGGCCCTGAATTCAACCTGCAATATAGAAAAATAAGACAAATAAATAAAAACAAAATGAATAAAATAAAACTAATGAAATGAAATCCAGATGAGTAATAGAAAGCTCTGATTTTCCTAGCCTGTTCTCTTGCTTTCTAAAGACCATTGTTATGACTGAAAGATCTACTTTTCACTGTTATTTAAATTTAAGAAGACCAAGCCCCTGATTAAATGGCAGTGTTTTTAAGTCAAGGTGTGGATGGGCTTTTTATGAGAATCTGTGCTGGGCACTCATTTTTCACACCTTGTCCATAAGGCGGAAGAAATCTATCTTACAGATGGCAAAAGATGATTGGGCAATAATTTGAGTCTGTTAAATTCCCAAGCTTATGATGTTTCTACTAAAACTACTGCTTTCTTCCCCACACCCTTAGGGGGAAGTAGATGATGTCCCTAACAAAAATATACTTTTTAGCTGTTCTCATTTTCTCTTGTTTTTAGGCAATACAAATCCAAATTTGAGGCCCAGAATATATGGTATGAGCATAGGCTCATTGATGACATGGTGGCCCAAGCTATGAAATCAGAGGGAGGTTTCATCTGGGCCTGTAAAAACTATGATGGTGATGTACAGTCTGACTCCGTGGCCCAAGGTAAGCAGTCAGAGGACCAAGAGAGGCACCAGAGTCCAGTAGCAATAAGGTCATTCCACAATAATTCTCCAGTTTGAGAACGAGATTTTTATAGCCCTTAGTTATAAAATCATGAAATGTTAACACTATGAGACACTCAGGCTCTTCATCTCATGTGACAGATAAGGAAATGAAGCTCAGACTAGGGAAGTGACTTTATTCAGGGTCATACAGAAAGTAACAGTGCTGACACTCCTGACTCCGGCCTTAGATCTCAAGTTGTTGTTTCTTTCCTCTACTTGAAGTTTTAAAGCCTCCACTAAGAAGCCTAGTACCTTATCTGCTAATTACTCAATCTCCCTGCCCTCATTTTCCCTGTTGAGAATGTAAAGAAACTAAGGTATTCAGGCAGGGAAGAGTAAAGTGAGGTGCCTGTTTGGTCAAAGGGAAGTGCCTCTAAGGGTTCATTCATCTTGCCACAGGATTTAATCATGCTCTTTCTGCCAGCTTTGAAGGCACTTCTAACATGAAAGAATTGAGCAAAGAACTGTGGGCTATGTGCCAGGGATAAAGGCTAAGTCAACAGAATTTCTCCTTTCCCCAAATTCCTCAGTACCAAATTGCTCTTCAGCTTGAATTGTCCATGGGGTCACTGTGTAAACTTGGATCTGCCCAGATGAATGTTTGTGTTAGCTTTAATTATGTTTACTTTTCCTCAGACCATACCGCTTTTTCCCTTATAAAACTCACTTTCCTAATCATTCTGAAAATCAGTAGACTCACCCAGTTAAAGGTAACTTTATATCGGATACATGAATTACCACTGTTCCTTCTTTACAATCATTTGTACTGAATGGACAGAGGAAGGAACGCTTTATGATGGCTACATGGTGGATAAGGAAAACTATTCTTTTTCATCAGAGTTCTGGAGAAGGGACTCAAAGTCATTCTTTGTTTGGGGAGGTTTGGTTTCGTACTTGGGATAAAACCATAGGGTTTGCATTTTACCACTCAGCTATATTGTACCTATTCTTCTGTTTTTATATTATTTACTTATTTAAGTTTAGCAAAAGTTTACCTCGCAAATCAGGACAAATCAGGAAGGAGGAACAGACACATGCTGGAGGTTTGTGTAAGAAGCTCAAATACATTGTTTTCAAGTATCCTCCTGGTGATAGAGAAGGGTATGTAGAGAAGTATTTCACGTGTAAATGCCAAGTTATGCAAATTGAAAGTAGTTTGTGATTAAGAGTCCTGAAGCACAGCAAGCCCTGATAAAGGACTTACTGAAGACCCTTTAGGCAGAGCCTGCAATGAAGTGATCTCAAGGCAGCAGAGCTATCCTGTCCCTCATTCTTCTCTAGAGATGTAAACTACTTGAGAGTCACAGAATTTCACTTATCACTGTTTTGAAAGTAGTATCTGCGAGTGTCCTAATGTTGCTAGCACATGGTGTCCTGTGTTAAATGTCGTGGTCCTGAACCGCTAATCAATGTAACTTTTGAGTGTCTATGAAGCCCCAAGTCAACAGAGTGAGATAGGAGTTACTAAGCCCACACAGATCACTTTTTTACCCATTTTATACCTTTACTTACCAAAATCCAAAATAATGAGTTCTTATGTTTGTCACATTTTGGATGGCTGTGACCACATACTTGAGTTAGCAACTTAAAAGAGGAAGAATTTATTCTGGCTTACGGTTTTAGAAGTTTCTGTCCATGCATAGCTGCTTTTAGGCTGTGATGAGGTAGAGCATGATGCACACCGTGGAGAGAGCGGATTCTGCCATGCAGGCCAGGAAGTACAGCCTCAGCTTCCTCAATTGCACTCACAGGTGACCCACAGATGATCCACTTACTCTCAAACCAGGAAAAAAATTTATAGATAATTATAAGTTTATATTATTAGCCTCCCAAGTGGTCATGGCAAATAGTAAAAATTAGAAAAATGTTCTTTCAATTCGAACAAAAAGTTACAGAAAAGAGGGGCTGGGAAGGTGGCTCAGTGGTAGAGCGCTTGCCTTGTATGCTCAAGACCCTGGGTTCGATTCCTCAGCACCACATAAGCAAAAAGAAAAAAGCCAGAAGTGGCGCTGTGGCTCAAGTGGTAGAGCGCTAGCCTTGAGCTGAAGAGCTGAGGGACAGCGCCCAGGCCCAGAGTTCAGGACCCACTACTGGACCCAAAAAAAAAAAAAAAAGTTACAGAAAAGAAAAAAAGAAGTTGCATGGCCTTAAGCTGGAATATAGTGCTCTGAAATAGAAAACACAGAAGAGAATTTTCTTTTTTCTTTTTTTTTTGTCAGTCATGAGGCTTGAACTCTTTGCTTGGGCACTGTCCCTGCGCTCTTCAGCTCAAGGTGAGCGCTCTACCGCTTGAGCCATTGCACCACTTCTGGTTTTTTTATTGGTTTATTGGAGGTAACAGTCTCACAGACTTTCCTGCCCGGGCTGGCTTTGAACTGTGATCCTCAGTTCTCAGCCTCCTGAGTAGCTAGGATTACCGGAGTGAGCCACTAGCACCCGGTGAGAATTATTTTCTTAAGGGTCCTAAGAACAGGAAAATCAAGTGGGATGTTCTTAAATCCAACCCAACCTGTTTGTATCTGCCTTTTCATCCCATTACAGCGAGTCTAGCCTGAAGGTAGGAAAATATTCTTTTTGTATGTGTTTATGCTAGCTCTGAGAATTGAAATCAAGGCCTCACAATCTTCCTTGGCTTTTTGACTCAAGGCTGGAGCACTGACACTTGAACTCTACTTCTAGCTTTTTGCTGGTTAATTGGAGATAAGAGTTATATAGACGTTTCTTCCTGGACTGGCTTCAAACCATCTTCCTTAAATCTCAGCATCCTGAGTAGCTAAGATTATGAGTGTGAGCCATTGGGTGAACCAAAGGGGACTCTTTAATTTTTATTTCCCCAGAAAGCAGACCATCTGCTCATAAGATTAACAAGAACAAGCTTAGTGGCAGTGGCTTACACCTGTAATCCTAGATGCTCAACAGGCTGATATTCAAGTATCACAGTTTGAAGCCAGCCCAGGCAGGAAAGACAGGAAAGTCTGTGGTACTCTTATCTCCAATTGATCAGCCAAAAGCTCGGCTCTGAGCTGTGACTCTAGTGGCATAGCACTAGTCTTGAGCAAAGAAAGTTCATGGATAGAACCTAGAACCTGAGTTCACATCCTAGACCAGCACAAAATGTTTTTTTAAAAATAACATATTGAGCTCTTGATCTAGCAAGAATGAGCTTGAGCTCTTGCTCAAGCATGTGCACGTCAGAATAACAATAACATATTGAGCTTTCTCTGTAGTAATTAATAATAGAAAATATATTTTCTATAATATTTTCATATATTCAAGAATATATTTTCCTCCAGTCTCACAACTCAAACAAGGTGCTTTTATTCCCATTTTACAGATAGAAAAGTTGAGTCACAGTAGCCATGAAGTGACAGAATTAGGGTAGAGTACACACTGACCGGGTTCCTCTGAGATAAGTGAGGAAATGGTGCATCCTTTCTAGGTCTTTCGATCTGAGACCTGGAGCAGTGACCTTGCTCTGCTTCCTGAAAGGCAGAAGAATGATCAATGACTCGATATGGTTACAGTTACAAAGCCTTCTCCAGACTTGACTCAGTCTTAGCTCTTGGAGACCAGCATTCCTCATGCAGTTGGACCCAATTCTTCCTGCTCTGCCACTTCCAGGTTATGGCTCTCTTGGCATGATGACCAGTGTGCTAATTTGTCCAGATGGCAAGACTGTGGAAGCAGAGGCTGCCCATGGGACCGTGACCCGTCACTACCGCATGCACCAGAAAGGACAGGAGACATCCACCAACCCCATTGGTAAGATGGCATCTATTTTGCTAGTTTCTGACCAGAGTCCTTTCCAGAGAAAACCTCCAGAGGAATTCAGACACATCTTTAGCTCTTCAGTGTTTGTGATTCCTTCCATTACAAATAGTCTTTTGATATCATTAAAATAGGCAATGAGGGGGTTTCTATTTTGTGAAAGCATGTATGTCACAGAGAGAAGTATAATCAACAAGCATTTCCCTTGTGTAGTCACCAGTTCACTTGGTGCAGGCTACAAATTTAAAAGCCCGGTGGATAGTACTTTAGAAAGGGGTTATACCCGGGTACCTCTGGCTCACTCATGTAATCCTAACTACCGAGAAGACTAAGATCTGAGCCAGCCTGGGCAGGGACAGCCCTCTAATAAACTACCCAAAGCCAGAGGTAGGGATGCGACTCAAGTGGTACAGCACTAGCCTTAATGGGAGCGGGTTACCAAGTTCAGGAACAGTGTCTAGGCTCTGAACTCAAGCCCCAGGACTGGCACAACAAACAAAAATTATAGCCTAGAAAGAGGAGACCCGTGTGGGCAAAAGATAAACAAATAGGCCTTTTCCTAATTAGTAAGTACTTTAAGCTTCAAGCAGTAATATTACACCATTAAAATGTGTCCTTAAAATTTTCTATTTGATAAACTATATCGAACTTAACATTTCTAGCTGTATCGAACTTAACATTTCTAGCTAATGTGGATAGAGTAATGTAATCCACTCGCATTTAAAAAAACAATAACTTTTTGTTTCTGGAAAAGGCGAGACATTTGGAAATCCTCCTAAGTAGGAAGATTGAAATCCATATTTGGGGTTTTTTTCCTTTTATTTATTTATTTTTGATCTTTAAAAATATTGTTAAAAATTTGTACAAAGAAGTTAGAATTGCATGTCAGATTATGAGTGCAGTGAGTCCATGCGTGTCACCCTTCCATCATTTTCCCCGTCTTTCCCTCCCATCCCTACCCTCAAGTCACATAGTGCAATTCTTATATATTGTACATTGAATATAATGATTGCATTGGCTTGCTTTTCTTTCCTCCTTTGTTTTTCTTTCTTAGCTTCCATTTTTGCCTGGACCAGAGGGCTAGCCCACAGAGCGAAGCTTGATAACAACACGGAGCTTGCCGTCTTTGCAAAGGCTCTGGAAGAAGTCTGCATTGAGACCATTGAGGCTGGCTTCATGACCAAGGACTTGGCTGCTTGCATCAAAGGTTTACCCAAGTAAGAATAACCAAGCTGACCGCTGTGGTCAGACTCTGATTTATCTTCACCGGGCTCAAAGCACCAGTGCCTTTTGGAATTATTTGAATTGCTGCCCATTATCTTCTGGGATCTGTCAGATAGACAAAAAACATTTTTGGGCTTTGTGGTCTATTTTTGATGTGTTGTCATTTTGCAACTACCCAACTCTGCATCAGCCATTGTAGAGGGAAGCAAAGATGGACAGAAATGCATGGATACACAGCATACCAATCAAACTTCTTTGGTCCAGGGGCAGGGCCTTAATATGGCAACCTCTGATTTCATCTGTTTGATTTTTAAAAGAAAATGATAGATAACTAGAAACAAAGAGAACTCAGAGACTAGGGTATTCTAACAGTATTACTTTCTTTAATTTACAAACAAGAATAGTAAGCCACACAAGTAAGATGTCCAGTTGATATTGTCCCTTCCTTAAGTATCCTCACTTACAAAAAACCCTGTTTTTTGTTTTTTGCTTTTTTTTTTCTGCCAGTTGTGGGGGTTGAACTCTGGGCCTGGGAGCTGTCCCTGAGCTCTTCAGCCCATGGTGAGAGTTCTACCACTTAAGCCACAGTGCCACTTCCATTTTTCTGGAGGTTAATTGGAGATAAGAGTCTCACGTACTTTCCTTGCCCGAGCTGGCTTTGAACCACAATCCTCAGATCTCCACATCCTGAGTAGCTAGGATTGCAGGCATAAGCCCCCAGGGTTTTTATGAAGACAGGAGGACTAGGTAACTAGTAGATGAGCTGGATTAGCTGCAGACTTCTTCCTCAAAGTCCAACTTTGGGACTATGTTACCTCAAGAAAATCTAGTAAGACTGAGCACCAGTGGCTCACACCTATAATCCTAGCTTCTCAGGAGGCTGAGATCTGAAAATCAGTTTGAAGCCAGTCCAAGAAGGCAAATCTAGGAGTCTTTTAACCAGCTGAAAGCTGGAAGCAGAGATGTGGCTCAAGCAGTAGAGCACCAACCTCTACTTTAGCAAAAAGCTAAAGGAGAGCTCAGAGCCCTGAGTGTAAGCCCCAGTAACCAACACTTAAAAAGGAAGGAAAAGTAGGAAGCAGAAAGAATCTACTGAAATTTGGCCACTAATACTGTGTCTGAACGAACCAGTGTGTTCCCAGTAAAGGGATTATTCTTAGTCATTACATATTTCATAACTTAAATTTCCAACAAAATACAGTGCTTGAAATGTTCTCATCAGTATCCTTATAACTCATTTGTTAGATGCTTGTTTTCAGGATGAATGGCAGTATGTGGGAATGTGGATAAAGGCTTACCTATTACCCAAAGTAGGTTTTGTTCCAAGAATGAAGTTGGACAATTTCAGTCAGCATTAGTTAGAACTGAAACTCAAAGCCACTTGGCAAGAAGCTTTCTGTGTATGAATGACTGTCAGCATGAGCTACCCAGCCTGCTCAGCCTTGAGCATAGTATTCTGGATAGATTTGTGGCTTGTTAACATAAATCAGTTTTCTCCTACATATTAGTAAACTATTATTTTAAGTATCATTTCTAGAATTTTCCCTCCTCCTCAGCCTGTCTGATTAGACAAACTAAATTTCCTTCTTTTCTCTTTTCTCCCTGTTAGTGTGCAGCGTTCTGACTACTTGAATACATTCGACTTCATGGACAAACTTGGAGACAACTTGAAGATAAAACTAGCTCAGGCCAAACTTTAAGGTCATTCTTTGGGCTTAAGGCAAGAGTTTTTGGTAATAACTAGATCCACAGGTTTACATTTTTTTATAACACTCAAGGGTAAAATTGAAATCAGTTTTGTAATTTGTTTAGAAGACAGTTGATCTTTTCTATACGTTTATAGTCATTTTTTTCTTATTTACATAGTTTTTGCCACCTTTGTATATGTGGCAGGAAGATTTTTAATAAATCGTATTTTATTTTCTGGTAGCAGCCCAGGAATTCCTTTAGTACTCATTCATATTCACTGTCACTTTTTTTTTCATGTTCAGATATAAATGACCAAAATGAAGAGTATTGATTACCCCAGTATTGTATGAGAGTAATTCCTTCTGTGCACCTCTGCTCCATGACTGAGGGCCCTAGGGGTTTGGTGTTCAGGTGTTGTTATGGGAAGTAGGGTTGTACATTGAACTTGCATGTGTTCTGAATGAAGTACAGAAATGGTGTACCTAACATGTGGTGGAGACACAGTAGTCATTTTGTAAAGAACTTACCAAATATGTCTATTCTGCTGTATATCTTTGAGAGAGTTCAGATTCCAGAATAAACACCACCTGGAGGTTTGCGCTCTGTCTTTGTCTTCCTCCTCTGGTCTGATCTAGCCTGGCCCCGGAGTATGATGCTACCCTCAACAACATATTTCATCCATGTGCAATAATGTAAGCTGTACCATTTTTTTTGGACTTCTGCTGACCCATTTTATTTCTCTTACATAAATGTGATTTCCTGAGGTTGGTATTAAACACTATTCTAGTCCTGTTTTTTGTTTGAACTGTTAATGTTAATTAAAATGAAGTGTTAATTACTTTCTAGACTTTCTATTTATTGTGTATGTTTACATGCCACACACGGGCTGCATCCTAGCCATAGGAATTTGATTTGAAAAACAGTCTCTACTCGCAAGATGCTTGCTCTGGAAGAAATGAACAAATATACAGACAGAGGGACGTGTCCCACACAGAGAGGACGACCAAAGAGAACTACAGGAATAATTGTAGAATACTGTAGTCAATCTGTATACATGCTGGGGAGTTTAGGCATTACCTTGCAAGCTAATAGGGAGCCAATGAAGACTTAAAGAGTACTTGGTCATATTTTCTCTTCTAAAGCTAGTACTCAGCGGCTTTTGGAAAGGAGTGCTGAGGAGTAAAGTGGTGGGCAGAGCTGAGGGAGGAGGGCCCTGTGGGAGGCAGCTGCAATGCCTTAGGTGGAAAGCAATAAAGATGCAGCAGAAGCAGGGAAGAGAATGGGTGGGTTGGACCTCAAGGTAAAGAAGTTGATTGAATGGTTCTTGCTTGCAGGTTAAGTGGAGATGAGGGAGAAGAACAAGTCAGTTGCTTCCCATATGTGTGGCTCCCATTTAGATAAAGGCTGGTAGCATCCCAGCATCTTGGTAGAGAAGGCTTTACAAGCTTTTACACACACCTCAAAATGACTTGAGTTGAAGTAACTGTCTGTTGGGGGTATTTTTTTATTTGCTTGAATTTGAATTTGTTTTTGGCAATATTGACATTTGAACTCAGGGCCTTGCATAGACACTCTACACTTGAACTACATCCCCTAGCCCTTTGTGATGGTCTTATATTTTTACCCAGTCTGGGTAACCCAGGGAGATCCAAACACCTTTTTTTAATTGTCAAATAAAACGTATTTGGTTTCTCCTTCTGTCATCTAAACATATTACCCTCTGTTAAGACTTTTGATTAGTAACATCTCCATTAGAACATCCATATCCCAGGCAGGGTGCCAGTGACTCACACCTACAATCCTGCCTACATGGAAGGCTGAGACCTGAAGATTGAGTTTTGAAGCCAGCATAGGCAGAAAAGTCCATGAGACTCTATCTCTAATTAGCTAGCAAAGAGCCAGGCTTGGTGAATGGCTCAAGTGGTGAGAGTACCAAGCAAACAAGCTGAGAGTACAAGGCCCTGAGGTTAAGCCATGCTACTGATGCACACATCACATATACAAACCCACATACACACAGAGCAAGAACACCCATTTCCCCTTCCATTGAGATGATTTTAATTCACTTGTGATGGCTTGTTTTTCACTATCGCTGCATGATGAGAAGGAAACTGAGGCAGTGAGAAATACTTTTAACCAGGATTGCCAAATCCATTTGGGGCCAATCCGCAGAATTCCTTGGGAATTCTTTGGCTGAGGTGGGCTTTTCTCACTATACCTGCATGTGTCAGATTTGGGTGGAAGAAAACATGTGAAACAACATGATGGCATTAGAGTAGGTGATTTAAGGTCCCCCCTGACCTCTCAAGCATTCTGGGGTGACAGACACTGTCAGTGTCAGTGACTAGCCAAGAACAGGTTCTAAATGAGCCAGCAGATGCACAAATGCAGGCCAACACAGCCGCAGGCTAATGGTTTATCTTGTAACAGCCAGAGGGTCAGCCTTATTGACCTGGAAAATGACTGCCCTTAGCAAAAAATGTTGATGGCCCCAGGAGGCTAGAGAGACAGAGACAGAGACAGACAGAGGAGAGAGAGAGGAAAGTTCCAATTTCACAGGTATGTCTTAGGGAGAATTTGTGATGAAAATATTTAAGGTTTAGTCTCCACAATTGGAATCCCAGGCCTCTAAGACACTGAGCAGTGAGCTCCTTTTTATCATTTAAATACTTAATAAAAACTTCCCTGAAACTAATATAAAATTTCCCCTAGGCAAATAGAAAATTTTAATGAAGACTTTGAACATTTATTTCAACAATGGTGAAAATGTTAGGCTTTTTATCATCATCTCTACTGGTAGACATTTTTATTTCACAGTCTTAATATTAGGGACAATGTAACTTCCAGACTGTTAATTCCAGGGTTTTTTTGTTGGTGGTGGTGCTAGTACAGGGGCTTGAACTCGGGGCCTGGGCACTGTCCCTGAACTTTTCTGCTTGAGGCTAACACTAGCACAGCTTCACTTACCACTTTGATGGATAATTGGAGGTAAGAGTATCATAGACTTTGCTGCCCAGGTTGGCTTTGAACTATGGCCCTCAGATCTCAGCCTCCTAAGAAGCTAGGATTACAGGCCTGAGCTACTGGCTATGCTAATTCCTTGTCCTCCTCCCCCCTTCCCCTTCTCTGGCTCTTCTTTCCTCTCTGTACCTCATCCCCAATCTTCTCTCTCTCTGTGTCTCTGTCTCTGTCTCTGTCTCTCTCTCTCTCTCTCTCTCTCCATACACACACACACACACACACACAATTTTTTTCTCCTTGACTACTTTAGAGTAACTTGAGACATTTTTCTTTTTCTTTGCCAGTCCTGGGGCTTTAACTCTGGGCCTGAGTGCTCTCTCTCAGCTCCTTTCGCTCTACCACTTTAGCCACAGCTCCACTAACAACTTTTTCCGTGATTCATTGGAGATAAAAGTCTCAGGCTGGCTTCAAACCATGATCCTCAGATCTCAGCCTCTTGGGTAGCTAGGATGACAGATGTGAGCCACCAGTACCCAGCACATTTGTCTCACTTTTTCCTAAATGTTTTGGTATGTAGGCCTCCCTCAGTCCCTCACCCAAAAAAAGAAATGAGGAATTCTCATAACTACAGTGATCAAAATTAGGGATTCCGCCTTAGTGGCTCACATCTGTAATCCCAGCTATGTGGAAGACTGAGTGAGATAAGAGGACTGGTTCAAGTCTAGCACAGACAGGCAAAAGCAATCTGGGCATCATAGTTTATGCTGGTAGTCCCAGCTTTGTGTGAGGCGGAAACAGGAGGTAGTGGGTTGAGGCCTGTCCCTTGACAAAAGCAGTCAGACCTTCCTGAAAAATGCACCAAAGTAAAAGGGGCAGGGACATGATTCGGGTATGGAAGCCGAGTTCAAACCCAGTGCTGAAAAAAATAATAAAGGAAGTTAACGTGCAAATTTCAGTATTTGAAATTTGAGCCAATTTGACACTGCGGTGCCAATTTTTTTTTACAGTTTGTACACTTTTTCTCAAGGATCCAGTCCAGGATTGCACATCACATTTATCTGTCAAGTCTCTTCAAAACCAGAAACTGTAAAAGTACTTTATTTAGAGATCATAGTAACTGCAATTCAGGAAGCAGGTTCATAAAGCTGTATAGCTCCAAGTCTGGGTTCTGAAGAAGGCAGCAAGAATGGAAAAGCAATGCAGATTTGTTACAAAATGGTAAAATTCTTACATAGGAAACTACTATTGAATACTGGCAAAGAATAGGATTGCATGGTAGAAGACAAAGAAAAGATTGTATATGCTTGGCAAAAAAAATGTCCATAAAACAAAAGTCCAAAAGCATCTTAACAAACACTTTGAGTCCCTGGATACTATTATTATTGAGCCTTTGCAGATGTCTGTAGCTAAAGAGTGTCGGTGACTAAAGTACATTCCCAGGGCCTGGGAAGGTGGCTCCGTGGTAGAGTGCTTGTGTTGCATGCATGAGGCCCTGAGTTCAATTCCTCAGCACCACATAGAAACAAAAGCAAAGTGGCACTGTGGCTCAAGTGGGGCTGTGACTCAGGCGGTAGAGAGCTCGCCTTTAGCTGAAGAGCTAAGAGACAGCGCCCAGGCCCAGAGTTCAAGCCCCACGACCAACGAAAAAAAAAAAAAAGTTTACATTCCCAGATTCCTAGACAGTACCTTGAAATGTGTGTAAGCCCTGCTTCCTTAATGGGATGAGCCCAGGCTCTTGTGCATGCTAGGCAAAGGTTCAGCCACTGAGTCTTGGGACCTGACGCTCGCCCCTGCCAATCACTCAACAGAAAACCTCGCAGGAAGCCCACAATTCAACATGGGCTCTCCAGAGACTGGAGATTTACAGAAAACCTTACTACCACCACTAAAAGACAAGTCTGTTTACAAGCAAACAAAGGTACTAACTAGAGTGCTAGAGTCACTGATGCTTTGCAGATAAGGGATCTTGAAATCATACAATTGAAACTAAATGATAGTCTATGGGATACACAGTTAGGTCATAATCAGTGGGGCAAAGATGATAATTGGACAGACACTGAAGAGCTGCAGGGCAGTTGGCAGAGTGCCATTCTTTACAAGGGTCATAATTAAGAGTGCCTTGCAAAAATTTGTTCAGCTATATTTATTTTATATGGTTCACTATATGTTTTAACAGTAAAAAGAAAAAAAAGTTTTAACTATATTTGGAAACATTCTGAATTCCCTTAGGTCAACAGCACAAGGCCACATTCTCCAGGCAGAGAGCCAAGAACCTTTCTTCTGATGTGTTTTTACCTCCTGTAATAAAGCCTTTTTTTTTCCCCTTTTGCTGTGCCTTAGATAGAATAACATGATTCATCACATTTATCTTATCCTTACCACAAATAAGCTAGAAAACTACTGCTTAAGAAGATATTCTAGGGCTAGGAAGGTAGCTCAGTGGTAGAGTGCTTGCCTTGCATGCATGAGGCCCTGGGTTCGATTCTTCAGTACCATATAAGCAGAAAAAAGCTGGAAATGATGCTGTGGCTCAAGTGGTAAAGTGCTAGCCTTGAGCTGAAGAACTGTGGGACAGCACCCAGGCCCAGAGTTCAGGCCCCATGACTGGCCAAAAAAAAAAAAAGAAGATATTCTAGCCTGGCACAGGTGGCACATGCCTGTGATCCTTGCTACTCAGGAGACTGAGATCTGAGGATTGTCATTCAAAGCCACCCGGGGAAGGAAAGTTTGTGAGACTCTTATCTCCAATTAACCACCAGAAAACCAGAAGTGGCCCTGGGGCTCAAGTAGTAGAGCACTAGCCTTGAGAGAAAAAGCTCAGGGACAAAACCCCAGCCTTGAGTTCAAGCCCCACAACCCACAAAAATAAATAAAAATA